TTTCCAAGGATAATCCAAAATGCAGCAGAAATCGGAACTCGTATTCAGTTCTGTTTAACTAGACTGCCTCGGCAAATCTGAAAATAATTTTATTTCCAAATATTATTGCCTAGACTTAGCCAGTTAGTTTATTATGACGGGAGTGGAGTAGGGGTGGTGTGTTATCGAGTGTAACGTAAACCTTCGGGTTATGGGTTAGATCCCGGTAATGTACATGGCAACAAGTATGGTCGCCAACAATGATTCATCTGTGATATGGGGTGGGGGGTGGCGAATAGTTAACGGGTTTGCGTTGGGTGATTAGGTCTGTCAGAGTCGAGTCGGGGGGTTTTCATTCCCAGTTTGTATGTGACAAATAGGGGTGCCTGTCCAATCTCGCGAGTCTTCTATTGGTCTTCCGGTTTCCTCCCACTGCTAAAGACCCCAACGCGCAAGAGAATTATTGAAATGAAATTGAACAAATTGTTAGTACCGATATGACCTCTCTCTCTCTCGTTAACTCTTTCCAATCAAAGTTAGTAAGACGCAATATGTTTAATTTAGGTCGACATGTATACCGTATATATAGTAGACATAGGCATATATATTACATATAACACCATTGTTGTTTTACATACATCCTAATCGTATTTACATACATCCTAATCGTATTTACATACATCCTAATCGTATTTGTATTACACCATTGACTGGCAACCAATGTTCGAGAAAGACTGGATCAATAAAGGTATATATAATATCAATAAAAAGGGATAAAAGATTATATACCTCTTGATAGAAGACAAACCATTCTGGTCGATCAAAGAAGCTGAGTTTCACATCCTATATCGTGTTATTTTAGGTAAGTTACGTCAGTTCACTGGGAAAGCCCGATTATTTTGAAAGGCTTCTTGTGTGGGATCTTTCTTCTTTTCATGGACACAAATTAAATACTCGCCGTGTTTAACTACAATTTTGGATTAATGGTTAGTGAATAAAGTTCGAAACGGCGTATTTATAACACAGGTTATATAATTCAAAGATAGTTGACGGTATATAATAAACGTATGAAGTAGACACAGTCTAAGGTAGTCGGTGTACATATAATATACATGTACATAAGGGCATGTATACAGTCTAAGTTAGTTGGTGCGTGGCATGTATATGATATACATAAGTGTTGTATACTGTAAGGTTGCTGGTGTGTATATAATATACATATGGGCTGTATGCATTCTAAGATAGTCGGCGTGTATATATACTCTTCAAAAAAATGTAGGGGATATTCAGAAACAATACAGTACAGAAAGCTGATAGGCCGTTTGTGCTCGATTTCGCAGGACCTGTGTACGATTGTATCGATCCTGGGCTTGTGTAGTGGCTCTAGGACGACCTGAAGACCATGTTGAAGACATCTAATTGCAAATTAAATGTAACACACTAAAGCGAAGATACACTAAACAGCAAATCTTATCCAAGAACCGATAAGAAAGCAAACATGGATAGGATAAACCAATGCGGCAGTTTTCATCAACCCTTCCTTGAAGTGTCAAATTTGACAACGAATCCCTCCGACGTGTATGGCGCTATTGCGTGTCGCACGTACAGCTGAGTGGTTCTGTTGGGGCTTTAAGTTCTTCATGTGAACATACTCTCAAAGCATGTCAAGTGTCCATGATTATTCATCATATCACAACCCGCATAGGTATTTGCATTTCAATATCCCCTATTTTTTTAATTTTTTTTTGAAGAGTACGCTGTATACACTCTAAGGTTGTTGGTGTGTGTATAATATACATAAGGGCTGTTTACACCCTAAGGTTGTTGGTGTGTGTATAATATACATAACGGCTGTTTACACTCTAAGGTTGCCGGTGGGTGTGTATATAATATACATATGAACAATCAATGAACTGTTTACAGTACAAGTCTAAACGTGTTGGTGTACATACGCCAATTTTCTGTCTGATTAAAATATTTTTGAGAGAGATTTGAAGCACACTTTTGTTGGTACGAATCCGTCAATATAATGGAAAGCCCCCGCCCCTCACTCACACACACACTAACTTTCGGGCAATCTGACTTTTCAGAGAGACAGGTAAATTATTATTTCATCTAGTTAGCAAAATAAAGTGCCCGAAATCTAATAAAACACTAATATTACTTTTCTTTTGAATCAAATGGACGAATTTGTACTGAATGGACAAAACATTTTGTCTGGAATCACTCTATTTTGTATGCCATTTTCGGGCATTTCCGGTTGTGCCCCAGCCCCTAACATTCTTCGATCCCGTACGCCTATGAATCACCGGGCCATTTCAGTTATTACTTTATCTGATATCTCTAGATTTATCTTTGTAAAAAAACACCGATGAAACATCCTTCATAAAAGGCTTCTGTTCATTAAACAATTTAAAAGTCACGCCATAATCTAATGTTGAAAAACATTTTATCGTTGATGTTATACATACGTATACAATTTCACACACCGTCTTCTTGATATTATATATTATTATTGGTATATGTATTCAACAAGGAAGTTACTCAAATATCTATCTTATTTTAGCATATGTGACGGCGTTAAGGAGCATAAAAGGTCTAACTATTAATTTTACTTACGCAAACCAGTGAGGTGTTACGATAGAAAATCAATGTTAATACACCCGTCTTAATGCTAGGTTCCCACTATCACAATTTGCGGCAAGAAAAGGCCTTTGCGGCCGTCAAATTTTCCAAATTTGCCTGTAACTCGCAATTTTGTCAGTCATTTCAGGTTCTGCCCCTAACATTCATCGAACCCGAACGCCTATAAATGAGACATCCCTCAGCCATTACTGTATTTATTGCGTGTCAAGACAATTTATAAAGTATATATGTCGTAATTTAAGGCATTTTGAATCTCTTGCAAATAGTCTTAAAGGAATATCATTTCAGTATTCACAACATTCGGCATCCTGTGTAGATGATATAAACAAGCCAGTGTCATGTATAATGTTAGGTAAATTTATTTGTTGGGCCTCTATTTAATCCTACTGAATCGATGTCGGTAAGCAATAATACTAACAATAATAATGTACATTTGTAGAGAGCCAAATCCATCAAAAAGTAGTTATACTGTATACTCAGTAAACAGACAATCTAATTCTAATAGCATTCCCGAAATAAGTCAGTCTTCAGCTGTGATTTGAAAGTAGTCAAAGTTTCACTGTTTTTGGATCTTCAGCAGTAAATCATTCCACACTAAAACCTTTGTCACCAAAATGTTTCAGTTTTGACTGTGAAACGTCAATAGTGTTCTGGTTATAAGATCTCATGGATCGATTTGGTTGCTTTAGTGTTAGTAGTTCGGGATATGATGTTTTGTTCGTGGTTTAGTTTCTTAAAGATACATTATGGGAGATTTTTATAGAGAGTTGGCCATTCTTGCTATAACAGTTCAAAAGTAGATGATGAAAGAAGAATATATTGAAAATTGCAGTCAAATTACTTTATTCTGAACATAGTTATCATCGTTGTAATATTTGACTAGAAATGGTAGCGAAATGCGTCTTCACCTTGGCCGATCGTTTGATTGACAGGCGTTAACTCCACCTACATATCTCGATTATCAAGTAAAGTTTTCAATGGCACACGGAAACGCTTTACAGCGGCCTCGCTAAGTACACTCTATCATTTAGCCTCGCTCTAACTGACGTATTTTCATCAGGTTGCCCCCTATTTGATTTAATCAATTAGTTAAATCCTATTTAAATCCGAGCTGTAGCCGAGCCATCCGTGGGTCTACAGAGTTGATTTTGGGCTTGTTGTTTAAATAAAGATCTAATTTATAATTTCTATAACATCTGAAGCCTAAATTAAGACTTGCAATAATCAGATTTAGCTCTTGCATAATGTATGTTTAATTAAATGAATAATCAATTCGAGTATATTTTAGCGTAAATTAAGTCGTAAAATGGTAAATTTTGTCCAAAAAATACACGATCTGAATCTCGATTTAATTTTCAGCACCGGCTCTCCTCGGGGTTTTACGGCGTGGTTTCCCTTGTAAGTGGTGCATAACGGAAGACCTGAAAAGGAACAGTGTCTAGTCGTTTGGCTGGAGCGAAGAATACGACCCATTGTACACATCGGCGTGACAGTTGGATTCTAAATAAAAGTATGTCATAGCGCCCCTGCCCGGGCAAAATTCCCCTTATAGTACAATGTATCGCGTATGTAACAACTTAAAATAAAATTTACCTGTGGCTAAAAGTGGGTTTAAATGTACAGGGGCACAGGAAAGTCAGTGACGCATGGATTTTGAAACATTCGAAAGAACTTCTGGAAAATCTAAATACTCGACCACAATCTCGCTTTTCGTAAGTCAAAACATTTCCGCCCTAACCCCATAAACTCTTACCAGTTAGATTTTATACAAATTCTCGTTTAGATAATAAATAAATAACATCATTTAATAATACATAAAAAGTTGGGGCCTTGATTTCCTCGTGAGTCGAAAATGTGAGAACATAATGGATTTTGAAACATTCGAAAGAACTTCTGGAAAATCTAAATACTCGACCACATTCTCGCTTTTCGTAACTCAAAACATTTCCTCCCTAACCCCTTACATTCTTACTAGTTAGATTGTATACAAATTGTGAGACCCCCCCCCCCCCCACGCCCGAGCCCAATATGCAGTCATTTGAATATATGTAACAAGTCCCTGTGAAAGTCCGATGCATAAGGGATGCGGGGATTTGTCTGAGAAAACGGTAATCGAGCAGCCGAGTGAGGCGCGCGAAATGGCGATGTAATGCTGGTGTGCCGGCGGTTAGCCCATCGTTCTACTAGAATGTCAATTATGATGTAAGTATATTGTACTGTAGTTTACTGATTTTTACTGGTACGTACCTATGTCGAAGTCAAGCTTGGGTGCTAGCGGTTAGTTATTCCACACTGTCCTGAGATGTAGGCATATAAAACGTCGTGTGAAAGATGTGAATTCTACTATATCTAGCTCATAATCAATAGCAAGTGCATTGTAAAGGTGACATTTTATTATTAACCAAATAAACTTTATTATATACTTTATGTTATAGACTTAGCTTCAAGAAATAATAACATAGGTCACTGATAGATAGCGATAACTTAGACTGATCCCTTATTGACCACTCATTTTGGATTTAAAGAACTCTCTGTTTTAAGTTCTTGGCATGTCCAACTCCACGGCCAGGGGCGGGACACAAACTTTTGTTAAGATAATAAAAAAAATAACATCATTTATTAACATCACAATTAGTTATAGTAATAATACATAAAAAGTTGGGGCCTTGATTACCTCGTGAGTCGAAAATGTGAGAACATAATGAGCCTTTGGAAATAAGTGTGCTTAAGCACAAAGCCCCGTTGGCCCGGGAGGGGTAGGGACATCTTCCTTCCTAAAAATCCTACTAAAACGAGATAAATGGTGTACAACATTATTTTGATCATATCCCACTAAGGAATTCACTCTTTATGGATTTTATAAACGTTTTGTCTGTGATTAACCCAATATATTGGGCCTTTGGCCAGAAGTCTTTACGGGTGATACTGAGACCCAAAAAACCCGTCGGTACGATAAAAAAAAGTCTCGATTATCCATTTTTTGGTTTAATCATGAATTGGCGTTAGGCAGCAGATCGGATCCTAATCCAGTAAATGTCGCAGACTAGCGATGACATTGAGAGTTGATTATGGTTTGAATAAGTTAATTAATAATTTAGATAACATTTTAGGCCTAAAGAAAGACCTGCAATGGGCAGATTTACCTCTTGCATAATGTATGTTGTAATGTTGATAGCAATATTGGTGATGCTGGTATCGATGCGGATCAGGATGCTGGTGAGGAACACTGTGATAATTGTTGATAATGGTAACGATGATAGTGAGGAAGTGGAGGAGGAGTTGGAAAATGATGTACATGTATCACAATCATTGAACTCATAATAATCTTCTGAATCGTAAAGGTCTATACAAAATACGTCGGTATCAAAGTCAACATCCACATCATAGTAATCATTGTCATCGTCGTCACTATCGATGCGGATCAAGATGCTGGTGAGGAACACTGCTGTGATGATGGCGATAATGGTGACGATGATAGTGAGGAGGTGGAGGAGGAGTTGGACAATGATGTACATGTATGATAAGCAAAGAAGTCAAAATAATCTTCTGAATCGTAAAGGTCTATACAAAATTCGTCTGTATCATAATCCACATCCATACCATAGTAATCATCGTCATCGTCGTCACTATCTTCCGTCTTTAGGTTGAAATATTTATCTTCTAATGAACATTTCAACAGAAGGAAATTTTGTACTGTTAATGGTACCTTGAGCTGGGTAACTTTGTCTTGTATGTTTGGTCCTAAATGTTGCCTAATAATTCTCCTACACATTGACTTTAAGCAGATATTATTACAAAATGAATGGAATTCTGATTCTTTGGACATTAATCTAGTTGTCTGTGCGTCAGTATCATCATTGTACTCATGCTCATCTTCCATAAAAGGTAACTTGTAAACAATGTCGATCTTCTCCGCCCCACTTTGATACAACAGATTTCTATAATCGTTAATTCGACTAGATAAAACATCCTCGGTTGGGATATCATCCATCCTGTTTCGTCTATTCTGTCCAAGATTCTGAAAGCTATAGTTGCCAGCTATTAGGTAACTAATCAGCTTAAGACCCTCCGATAAATACTCACGCTCAATAAACTTTATGGCCATGTCCATCATCGTTTTTTCTGCTTTGTCTGTTATATCCACTCCAAAATTATGGATAATGTATATACAGAACTCCAAATCTGTTATTCGATAGAAGTCAAGATACTTTACCATCGACTTTCCAAACTTATCCAAAATCTTACAATCGGTACAGGATCTACACAACTGTTTCACGAGTTTATACTCTCCGAGTTTAGCAGCCAGCATTAAGGCAGTTTGTCCATCTTTGTCCTGTGCATTGACATCTATATCCGAAGACAATATGGCAGCTGACCATCCTAAGTCCCATTCATGGTAGCTGTAGTTGTTGTAGGTCAATTTAACGAATCCAATAATACTGAGATGTAAGACAGTATGTCCATAAATATTCCTTATATTGGTACTGCATTCAAGTTGTAACAAGGCTTTCATATACTGGATGTTGTATAAAATAGCTGCAACCATTAATGGCGTGTTACCCGTAGAATTTATACGGTTTATATCAAACCGCTGATCAGTCAAAAGGTACTCAAAACAAGGAATAGTTATCAAACACCTAGCTAAATAATGTAAAATGTTGTCACCATTTTTATCCAAACCATCAAAATCAACCATATTGGAATCTACCAAATGCTGGAAATAATCATAAGAGTGTTTCATCACGTGTTTTATTAATATATTGCCGCGGTTTTGTGTTCTAAATTCCGCACCAAAACATTCCAACAACTTCATTATTTCTATGCCACATTCTTCATCTCTGCACATTTGATGCAAACAGTAATAAACAGCAGATCTACCGCGGCCATCTTGTTTGTTAACGTCGGCGTTGTGTTGATGAAGACGTTCTATCAGTTCTGTGTTGTTGTTTTGTACAGCTAACATTAAGGGTGATTTTCCGTTGTTATCGGACATATTCACGTCACAGCCATTCATTTTGAGCACAACATCAACAGCCCTTAAATTGTTACTTTCTACTGCGAGATACAGAGATGTTCTACCGCGATTATCTTGTTGGTTAATGTCTGCACGATATTGATGAAGAAGTTCCATAAGTTCTGTGTTGCCACTTTGTACAGCTAACATTAAAGGGGATTTTCCTTGGTTATCAGACAAATTCACACCACAGGAATCTATTTGTAACAAAAACTCAACAGCGCTTTTATTGCCATTTCGTATTGCGACAATCAGAGATGTTCTACCGCGGCCATCTTGTTTGTTAACACTAGCACCGTGTTTGTGTAGAAGTTTTATTATTTTGATTTCATTTTCAATTGCAGCCAAAATAAGTGGTGTGATTCCTTTTCTGTCAGCTAAATCCACACAAGAGGCATTTGTTTCTAATAACATATTTACAGCATATTCGTTGTTGGATATGGTTGCTAGATATAATGGGGTTTCACCAAACTTGTTTTGTAAATTAATTCGTATTCCCGCAATAATTAATTTGTATAAAATCACACAGGCGTTGGGTTTTGTGACGATGTGGTGGAGAACTGTACATTGATTTTGATCTACTGCATTAACATCCGCACCATGATCTATCAAATATGCCAGTACCGATACAAATCCCCTATACGCAGACATAAACAAGGGGGTCATCATTTCCCTGGAACAAATATTTACATCAGCCCCTGCTTCAACTAACGCCATTACAAATGGAAGACACGTGATTTCCGATCGTGGGAAGAGTACAGATAAGTGTAAAGCTGAAAGACCTTCGACATGTGAAATTTTATTGATGATGTCTTTAACTTTTTGGTGCTTCAATAAAATGGAAACTGTTTCCAAGTTCTGCTTCCTGCAAGCTAACATAAGAATGGTTTCGCCCCATTCCGAATTAACGCAAATATCTGGAAATGATAATAAGCGTTTCAGTCTTTCTGTTTCATCTTTACGAACGACTTGGAACCATATGCACCGGCATCCATAATCTACCATTTTCAAGGATAATCCAAAATGCAGAAGAAATCCAAATTGTAGTGAAGTATTTGTACGTATTAGATTCTGTTTATGTGGAATACCTCCTAAAATCTGAAAATAGTTTTATTTTAATATCTTAATCATGTATTGTAGCATGACAGGGGTAGAGTTGGGTTGGGATGGAGGGGCATCGGGTCTACTCTGGGTCTTCAGGTAAAAATAGGGATGTGACAATAACAACGTATTTTCCTGAATTAAAATGTGCAGGAATTTTTCCTTGGCCAATTGACCTGAAAATTCATTTTGTTGCAATTTTTTCGACCTACCACTATTTTTTCGGTCGGAGATCGGCCATTTTCCAAAAAAATGGCGAAAAACTTAATTTGTTTCATCGATTAGGTATTAAGTATAAAATTAGATTTCATATACCGTGTAATATATCCTTTATTGGGTTTTCGGGATTGACAAGTGCGTTACAATATGTTTTACCAATGTCAGATCCAATATGGCGGATATACTGTTCTTTCTAATATGTCCTTTATGTGGTTTTGTGAGTCAACAAACACGAATTTAATATAATTTTCCGATTCATTGATCCAATATCATTAATCCTGCACATCATTTCGATACATGTTATCCCATCCCTAGTCATAGGTTATTTTTGTACTTATGGGTTACATCCAGGTACTGTACGTGACAAGAAGTATGGTCGCCAACAGTGATTCAGTCCTGATTTGGAGGGTTTGGTGGCTGAATGGTTAACACGTTTGATCATAAAGTCTGTCATTTAATCAGGTTGTGTAGTTTCGATTCCCCGCTTGTACGTGACAAGGAGTAGGGTTGCATGTCCAACCTCGTGGTCCTTCCCACTGCTAAAGACACCTACGCGCAAACGAATTATTGAAATAAAATTGAACCATATGCTAGTCTCGAAATGGCCTAGTTTGTTGCGAGTGTATGTTAAACCCATTTCTCTCTCTCATCTGTGATATATGTTAGTCTCGTATTGCCCTTCTCTTAACCTGACTTCCCACTAGTCCGTGACAACATATAGGATCGCCTGTCCGACCTCGTGGTATTTCTCCGGTTTTCTTCCACTGCTAACACTTCCACGTACAAGCAAGCGAAATATTGAAATAAAATTGAACAATATGATAGTCCGTCAATGACCTAGTTTTTGCCACCGTATATACAGGGAAGTAAATGTACATAGGCATACTACATATAATGCCATTGTTGTTTTACAGAGATCCTAATCGTATTAACATTACATCTTTGACTGGCAACGCTGAATCAGAAAGGCTGAATCAATAAAGGTATATATAATATCAATAAACAAAAGACATTAAACATTATATACCTTGATCTTGATAAAAGACGAGTCGTTCTGGTCGATCATATAAGCTGAGTGTCACATCCTGTATCGTGTTATAATTTTAAGTAAGTTACGTAAGTGAGTTCACTGGGAAAGCCCAATTATTTTGAAAGGCTTCTTGTGTGGGGTGTTTGTTCTTTTCTTTATGGCTACCAATAAAAAGTCCTTTATCCCTCGCCGTGTTTAAATGAATTTTTAAATTATTGGTTGGGAATAACAATCTCAGTGAATAACTTTCAAAACGACGTATTTATAATAGAGGTAATTCAAGGTAGTTGGCCTAGCCTATATTGTAATATGCATACGGGTTGTATACTGTATGGTTGCTGGTGAGATAATACATATAAGGGCTGTTGTTACATAGTGGCAGATGTTATAGACGTTTTATGCAGTCTTGACAACATATCAACCTGTTCGCTTTCGACACCGCTGGCGGTCTTGGTAGCATTCCTTATGTCATTATGTAACCTTAACTTGTTGTTGGCATGTTTTATTTAACTGTCTTTGTCTGATAAGCAAACTATACTGAATTTTAAACCCGATATGATACATTAGCCAGATGTCTAATAAGATCCTTTTTCTTGAAGGGTTTATAAACCCAGAAGGTAAACGACATCGGAGTCAGGTCCGGGCAAGGACGTAGAAGACCGGAGGCTGCGGACGCCTTGGCACGAGACGAAACGGAACGAGGGAGAGCGTCTGGGAGTTGGCACACTCGTGCCTAGCCAAACTAGGACATGGCTCCCTCAATACAAGTTAGTCCTGGGTGTCTTTAACATTACGATGTTTGTACGTGATATGTAAGAAGCAGAGAATAAAAATATTATAAGATGTTAAACTAGTCTTGTCAACTGAACCTGATATAAATACCCAATACTGTCACACTGTTTACACTCTAAGGTAGTTGGCGTGTATATAATATACAGTCTAATTATAACGTTATGGGGCCATTTCGAAGCAAGAGACGTTTTCGCTGGCGTTTTGTTTCGCGTGAAGTGTGCGCATGTGGATTTTTACGACCAAGCGTACAAACACTGGTTCTCTGCCACTAAGTTATCAACCGCTCTTGTTTCTGATAATTCAGCTTGCAAATGGCAGACGTTTTTGACATGGTGTTTTTAAAAAGGCGGCGACTGAACGTAAACAATGTCGGTCCCAGGCTGTAAAGCGAAATCCTGACTTATGATGTAATTTAGATGGAATTATCTAAATTTTTTAGCGATTTTTCTGTGCATATGGAAATACAAATGAAAATCGCGCTCGGAAAAAACGGTGGCCGGTGGTTTTCTGCTGGCGGAAACGTACATGGAAATCCGGCCTTAGATTGTTGGTGTGTATATATAGTATTCCCCCCTATACCTCTATGTTTGTACGTGATTTACGAAAGACTAGCCCACAGCCCACTCCCCTTGTCAGTCGAATAGCTACCCATGACAATGAGACACCGGAGGATTTGTAGTCGAAAAACCTATCTCTCGACTTTGCACTCGTACACCCAAAGGCCCACCTGTCAGGTCATTAACCAAGGCCCACACAAGTACGCGCCGAGGGTGCGTGAACGTCCGGGGGGGGGTCTCCCCCTAGGAAAATTTTGGAAATTGACAACCGCAAATCCATTTTCCAAACATTTCAGACCAAAGCACAAGAAGGCAAATTTTTGATTCCTGATACAATTAGATAACAGAATGACCTAAGAGCACTATCATTAGACGAATTTGAGAATTCTCTTGAGTGTCAAAAAAAAACCCAACCTTTTATTCTCTGTGATGAAAATAATGTAAATTATAATATACATACAGTACACGTATTTGACAGTTCTATGGACGCACATCACAGAATATAACGAGAATCTTCGCACTCACAGAAGTAAACGAATATCATCATAAGCTCCTGAACCTCACGAGCTTATGATGATATTTATTTACTTCTGTGATGATAACTGATAATTAATTGTTCTCTAAGAAGTAACAACTTATTTCTTTAGCTTCAAGGATAGCCAAAGTAATCTTCAGGTCTTTTTCTTTTTTCTTTATAGGCTTAGGCCCACTTTTTTTAATGAGCTTAGGCCCACCTGTCACGGACAGGTGGACAGGTGGGCCCAGTCCGGCACTGCGTACACCCATCACAATAATGTCTGACGAAATCTGGAAAACGGTTCAAACTTCTACTTAACGTGGAAACGATGTCGACTCTGGCAGCCCCACTTTCGTACAACAGTAGTTTTCCTTGGTCCTTAATTTTGTTTGATATGAGTTCCTCTATCGGGATAAAATACACCCAGTTAAAATGTTCAAAGCAATAGTTTGCAGCTAGTATGTAACCAATCCACTCGAGAGCATCTGATAATTTATTTCGCTGCATAAAGTTCATCACCAAGTTCGCCATAGTTTCACAAGTTTGGTCTGTTACATCCACTCCACAGCTACGGGTAATATGTTTACAGAAATTAACATTTGACATTTTATTGAATGGATTGAATGGATACGCCATTTATAACAAATTCGACAATAGCGGTCATTTTCAAGATGGTGAACTATCCGACAACGAAATCACACGTTTTGCGGTAAAATCACACCAACCTAAAACATGGAACATCAAAAGTGATAACAATTTGATTAAAGTAAAACATCCTATTTCGTTTCGTTTTATGTTATATTTCAAAATTTCGTTTTACTACACCAAGATCTGAAAGAGTTGTTACATAAGTCTGTGTCCTGAGTGTTGTGAGGGATTCGCCAATCAAATGGTCTTTTGAGCCGAGACACTCAAACCTTCGCTCAGCACAAAGTAATTTGACTGAGATTTTCCATAAGTTCATTTTTTATTATCTTTTATTTTTCAACTATTATAGCAAGAAGGGACATCCCTTTGTCTACATTTTTCATAATGTGTCTTTTAAAAAAAATAGATTAAAACACACAAAAATAAAACAAAGAAAACAAAATCACAAAATTCACGCTACCTAACAGATATGTTGATACATTCATTCGATGTGCGTAATTTAGTAATTATTCGCTTTTCATCTACTCTGAATTGGAAATTTAAAAAAAACACCGCTAATGACAACATGGTTTAGCTTTATCCCTTACTCAACAATAACGCCAACCAGCATCGACGTGAATCTGATATGGCAGAGGTAGTCTTGGACTGGTCCCAAATCTATGGGTTCTGTTGATCTGTTTTGGGTGTTTCTATGGGAACCAATAGTGTCCGTTTACTCAGTGATATTTCTATGTATCTTAATGTTACATGCATTTCTGTACAACTTATCAAGACCTTCACGTAATTCCCTTCATATTTCGGCACTTATTTCGATTGGCTACTGACCCAGCTGGGGACCTCTCAGATTCCTGGATAGAAAATATCATGGCGAATACCAAGTCTCGTACTCTCCAGCTAAAATGTTTCCCTGTTATAATCGAATTGCAAAGTTCAAAGTTCGTTCAATGTTAAGGTTTACGTGGAGGTCGCCATGTTTGATTTGAGTGTGTTTGTGTCACGACCTATAATTGGACAACGCTATTGTTCACGTGTCTGAGGTAAAGGGAGATAGCGTACCTATAAAGTTCGGGAATTTCAGAATAACCTAGCAACAGCTTAATTTTGTAAAACTCGCGGTCGTTACTTTAGGAACATGGTCTTGCACAGGTTCCAAGTCTATGGGTAATTCAGAGGCGTAGCCGTGAAATATATATCTGGGGTCCGCAAATGAAATTATATAAAATGTTGGCAATCTGTGACGCCGGAGCGAGATAGGGAGAGTGTGGGAGGGCCACTCCACTGGAGAGAGGGGGGGGGGCACCATAAAACAATTAATTCTGATCGTATATAGATTGCCGTTGAATGTTAATCAAAACCATGTGGCTGATTATTATGTAAATTAATCGACAAGCGGGTGTATGTCATTGAGTAATAATAATTTTCTTTTTGAAGAGAATTTTCTTGAAAGCTGAATTCCGTTAACTGTCGCTTCTTCATGCGGCATGTAAAGTAAGGAATGCATATTGGATAATATTGTTTAAAATTATCTTATCACCATGGGTCGAATAAATGAGAACGACCAACGAGCCGAAATGCGACGATTCTCGAATCTGCCATTGTTTAACTACATCAAAGCCAAAATGCACGAGAGTGAACGTAAGCTTTTCTTGACTATGAAATTGACATCTCTATTGTGTAGGACCATGGGTCGTCTGTCAGACAGCCCATGATCGTCTAGTATTGTCTCTTGCCGCATTTGTTTCTTAGTTACACACAGTAACAACAATACCACATTTCGTTTCTACATTTTATATTAAGCACTGCTACATATAGGTAACAAAGTTACAAGCATAATAAATTCATTCTCTGTAACCCGATTTCATGCAAACGCGGCGAGTCTGCTGATGGAAATTCATTCATCTTCTCCCTACGTGAACTACATGGCTGTCTACCCTAGAACGCACATTCTATTAAATATATATTCTCAGATTCACACCCATTAATTATTCGATTGGCTAATTATGATGTAATTAATCATGTGATTGGTCACCCTTGCCAAATATGAAATGGTAACTTTCCTACCACGTGTATTTCAAAAAATAACAATTTATCTTTGAAAAATGCAAATGACCATTATGTTTACTAAAGCATACATTCTCTATTTTTGATTATGAACTTAGAATCAATAATTTGTAAAGATAATAATATTGTTTCGGCCATCATATTTCTCCATTCTTTGTCTTTAGACCCCATGTCTTGTTATTGTCACACTATTCATAAAGAATTTTAATTTGCGTTACAGAATTACCTTATACCATAGCTAATATTTTGACAATGGAGGTTAATTAATCAAAACCATAATATTATTTTACATAGATGTTTCTAAGCACAAATTCTTGCCCTCCATATTACTACAATAGGAGCTCATATTTTATTAACGTTACGGTACCTGAAAATAATAATAGAGCCATCGTACTATATAAATTTGTGGGGGTGAGGGGGGGGGGGTCCAAGTATATTCAGCCCCCCCCCCCCGCCCTCATGTGTGACGCCCATGGTAATATTAGTTGATATCATTGATATTTTTATGTATCTTAATGTTATATGCATTTCGATTTAGACATACTCTCGTTAGACAAACAAAGGTAATGTTGATAGCAATATTGGTGATGTTGATATACATGCTGGTGAGGAGCATTGTGATGATGGGTGGTGGTGGAGATGATGATAGTGATGCGGTGGGGGGGGGGAATAATGTGCATGTATTATAATCTTCTGAATCGTAAAGATCTATACAAACTTCGTCTGTATATCATATTCTACATCCATATCGATGCGGATCAGGATGCTGATAAGGAACACTGTGATGATGGTGATAATGGTGACGATGATAGTGAGGAGGTGGAGGAGGAGTTGGACACTTATGTACATGTATCATTATCTTGGAAGTCATAATAATCTTCTGAATCGTAAAGATCCATACAAAATACGTCTGGATCATATTGCATATACATATCATAACTGTCGTAATCGTCGTCACTATCTTCCGTTTCTAAGTCAAAATATTTATCTTCTAATGAACATTTCAACAGAAGGAAATTCTGTACTGTTATTGGTACTTTGGCCTGAGGAACTTTGTCTTGTATGCTTGGTCCTAAATGTTGCCTAGTAATTCTCCTACACATTGACTTTAAGCTTAAGCATATGCCATTACAAAATCGATGGAATTCTGATTCTTTGGTCATTGATCCAGTTGTCTGTGCGTCATCATCATCATTGTACTCATGCTCATCTTCCATGAAAGGTAACATGGAAACAATGTCGATCTTGTCCGCCCCACTTTCATACAACACTTTTCTAAGGTCGTTAATTCTAGCAAATAAGGGATCCGACATCGAGGAAATGTACATCCTGTTTTGTCTATTCTGCCATATACTCTGAAAGCAATAGTTTCCAGCTATTAGGTAACCAATCAGATTCAGGGCTTCCGATAAATCACCACGGTGCATAAACTGCATGGCCACGTCCATCATCGTTTTTCCTCCTCTGTCTGTTATATCCACTCCACAACCACGTATAATGTATTTACAGAACTTAACATCTGGTATTCGATTGAATTCAAGATAGTATGCCATCGAATTTCCAAACTTATCCAATATCTTACAATCAGCACCGGCTCTACATAGCTGTATTAAGAGTTTATAATTTCCGAGTTTAGCAGCTAGCATTAAGGCAGTTTTTCCATCTTTGTCCTGTGCATTGACATCTATATCTGAAGTCAATATAGTAGCTAACAACCCCGAGTCCCATTCATGGTAGCAGTCGTATTGGATCAATTTTACGATTCCAATAATACTGAGATGTAAGACAGTATGTCCATAAATATTCCTTATATTGGTACTGCATCCATGTTGTAACAAAGCTTGCATATACGGGATGTTGTATAAAATAGCTGCAACCATTAATGGCGTGTTACCCTTAGAATTTATACGGTTTATATAAATCCGCTGATCAGCAATTACCTTAACAAACGAAGAAAAAAATCTTCCCAAACAAATAGAGCCTATGAGACTTCTGGCTACATAATGTAAAATATTTTCACCGTTTTCATCCAAACCATGAAAATCAACCATATTGGAATCGACCAAATGCTGGAAATAATAATAAGAGTGTTTCAACGCGTCTTTTATTAATTTATTGCCGTGAATTTGTGTTCTAAATTCCGCACCAAAACATTCCAACAACTTCATTATTTCTATGGAATCCTCCTCACCTCTGCACATTTGTTGCAAACAGTAATACACAGCAGATCTACCGCGGCCATCTTGTTTGTCAACGTCGGCGTTATGTTGATGAAGAAGTTTCATAAGTTCTGTGTTGCTGTTTTGTACAGCTAACATTAGGGGTGATTTTCCTTTGATATCGGACAAATTCACGTCACAGCCATTCATTTTTAATAAAATATCAACAGCTTTTAAATTGTTACTTTCTACTGCGAGATATAGAGATGTTCTCTTGCAATTATCTTGTTGGTTAATGTCTGCACGATATTGATAAAGAAGTTCCATAAGTTCTGTGTTGCCACTTTGTGCAGCTAACATTAAAGGGGATTTTCCTTGGTTATCAGACAAATTCACATCACAGGAATCTATTTGTAACATACAATCAGTAGCGCTTTTATTGCCATTTTGTATTGCGACAATCAGAGATGTTCTACCGCGGCCATCTTGTTTGTTAACACTAGCACCGTGTTTATTTTGTATTGCAGCCAACATAAGTGGTGTGATTCCATTTCTGTCAGCTAAATCCACACAAGAGCCATTTGTTTCTAACAGCATATTTACAGCATATTCGTTGTTGGAGATGGTTGCTAGATATAACGGGGTTTCACCAAACTTATTTTGTAAATTAATTTGCACTCCAGCGAAAATTAATTTCTGCAAAAACAAATTGGCGTTTGGTTTTGTAACGATGTGGTGGAGAACTGTAAATTGATTTTGATCTGCTGCATTAACATCAGCACCATGATCTATCAAATATGCCAATACCGACATAAATCCTCTACATGCGGATATACATGAGGGGGTCGTCATTTCTCTGGAGGAAATATTTACATCAGCCCCTGCTTCCACTAACGCCATTACTAATGGAAGACACGTGGTCTCCGAGCGTCCCAATTGTATGGATAAATGTAAAGCTGAAAGACCTTCGACATGTGAAATTTTATTGATGATCTCCTTGACTTTTTGGTGTTTCAACAAAATGGAAACTGTTTTCAAGTTCTGTTTCCTGCAAGATAACATAAGAATGGTTTCGCCCTGCTCCGAATTTACACAAGGATTTGGAAATGATACTAAGTATTTCAGTTTGTATATTTCATCTCTTCGAACTGCATTCCACGAGGCACACCAACATCCAGAATCCATCATTTCCAAGGATAATCCCAAATACAGCAGAAATGTGAACTCTAGTGGAATATCTGTACTTATTCAGTTCTGTTTAACCAGACTGCCTCGGTAAATCTGAAAATAGTTTTATTTCCATATATTATTGCCCAGACTTAGTCATTTAGTTTATTATGACGGGAGTGGAGTGGGTGGGGTGTGTCATCGAGTCTAACGTAAACCTTCAGGTCATAGGTTATCTATGTACTTATGGGTGAGATCCAGGTAATGTACGTGTCAACAAGCATGGTCGCCCACAATGATTCATCAGTGATATGGGAGGAGTTAACGCGTTGCCGTTGGATGATTAGGTATGTCATAGATTCGAGTCGCGTGGTTTTCATTTCCAGCTTCTATGTGACAAATGCGGGCCCCTGTCCACTTTCGTGGGTCTTTTCCTGGTCATCCGGTTTCCTCCCACTGCTACAGACCCTACTCGCAAGATAATTATTGAAATGAAATCGAACCATATGTTAGTATCGAAATGACCCCCCCCCCCTCTCTCTCTCTCTCTCTCTCGTTAAATCTTTCAAATCAAAGTTAGTAAGACGCAATATGTTTAATTTAGGTCGACATGTATGCTAAACTGATCCACTATGAACCGAGAACTAAGCGGTTGAAATTTCCGGCTAGCCTTGATCATCATTACTAAAGTCAGTACGATAAATAGCATAGTCTCGATTATCCACTTAATCGTTAAATCGTGAAGGAAAGTTATGCAGTAAATCGGCTCATAATCCACTAAGGATCGCAGGCTAGCGAGGCCATCTAGAGTTAATTATGGTCTGGATAGGTTAATTGTCTAATTAATAATTTAGATAACATTCAGGCCTAAAGAAAGACCTGCAATAGACAGGTTTAGCTCTTATGTTTAATTTAGGTCGACATGTATGCTAAACTAAGCCATCGTATATATAGTGAAGTAGATAGACATAGGCATATACTACATATCACACCATTGTTGCTTTACATAGATCCTAATCGTATTTACATTAGACCATTAACTGGCAACCAATGTTCAAGAAAGACTGGATCAATAAAGGTATATATAATATCAATAAAAGGGATAAAAGATTATACACCTTGATCTTGATAGTCGACAGGCGATTCTGGTTGATCAAAGAAGCTGTGTGTCACATCCTGTATCGTGTTATTTTAGGTAAGTTACGTCAATTCACTGGGAAAGCCCGATTATTTTAAAAGGCTTCTTGTGTGGGGTCTTTCATTTTTTCATGGACACAAGTTAAAGGTCATTTGCTACTCATCGTGTTTAACTACATTTTTTGATTAATGGATTAAAATATCTGTAAATAAAGGTCGAAACGACGTATTTATAATACAGGTATATATTAAACGTATGAAGTAGTATAAGGTAGTCGGTCTGTATATAATATACATAGGGGCTGTATACACTCTAGGGTAGCTGGTAAGTGTATATAATATACATAAGGGCTGTATACACTCTAGGGTAGTTGGTACGTGCATATAATATACATAGGGGCTGTATACACTCTAGGGTTGTTGGTACGTGTATATAATATACATAAGGGCTGTATACACTCTAAGGTAGTTGGCAATTATATAATATACATAAGGGCTGTATACACTCTTAGATAGTCGAAGTGTGCTGTATACAGTTTATGAGTGTTGGTGTGTATTCGGCCTGTCACACTATAACGTTTTAGACAACTTACTCCGACGTATAAAATAATTATCTAACACGCTGGCATACGCTGAAGTTGAATTTAAAAATCAAGAGACGCTCATTTTGGGCGCATATATAACGTACTTCTAACGCGCTGAACGAATATATAACCTATGTTTAACGTATGAGTAACTTATTCATAACTTATCCCCAACGTAAACATAACTTATACAAGTATATGACAGCGTGTGGCCAGTGAGGTTTTAGCGTTCTTGGCTTATGCGGAACTCATGCACAACGTTAGTCTAACTTATACATAGCGTGTTAGAGCGTACTTCGACGACCACGTGACGTCAGATATAAAAGCGGAGCAAAGCCGTATATAAATATGCCCGGCGCCATACATATGAAAAATACATTTTCTAAAATTTTTGTCGAAATTCGGTTTTCGACACACTTCGCCTCTATAACCAGTTTGTGTTTGAAAATTTGAAAAAGAAATTATTTATTCCCCCACCACTAAAACACACTGATTACGAAATATCGCTCCCCGAAACTTAATGATTTCTTTTGCAATTTGTTTGGGGTAAGACGTTGTCACTCCCCGCCTATGTATAAATAATATCAATCTGTCTAATATATAAACCACACCAATTTAACAGATCCAAATGCATGTTATTCCACAGGTAGACAGGCAGGGCCCCCTTTGAAGGGGGCTTTGAAGGGGACGTAGTTGGTTTAGAGTTTGTCTGACCCCTTGTTGTTCTGATGATGTTCTCAACCAGTATCAACAAGCCAACAGTGAGGCTGATGTCCCCCGCCGAAATAGGAAAATAATTAGAGGACACATATAAATTTATCACAAATTATCTTTTACAAAGTATTGAACAATCAAACAGTATATCTTTACTTATAGTCTAAGCATACAATGTTTTTGATGGAATAATTATAGCATATTAAGGGGAAAACATGCTCTATGCCTACAGATCTAGAGTTTGGTTGTATCAACGGGTCTATTTTCCATCTTGCTGCAAGTTGTGCAAAGTTCACTGTTTTCTTTCTGTCATTAAATGTCAATTCATTATTGCATACTACATATTTAATTAATTTATAATAGTTTCTTTTTCAATTTGTTTTTTCCATTTATTTGTTTATTTACCTTGCCTATATTCATTGTATTGGATTGTATTGGAATTGCTCAATTGATGCTTTTATCAATACCTGGTTATAATATTATGACATGTAATGTGGCAAGTTGAGTCGGGACATGTAGGCTATAATGTAACCTAAATGTATACATAAGTGGATTTCGTTTCATTTTTTTCGAAAATATTGTACAGATAAAAGAGGAGGAATTACAGGGGTAATACATTGGAAAGCTTCTTCAAGAACTAAAGCATAAACTATATAAACGAGCTTATAAAAAGGAAAAGTTTGTATAAAGACGTTTCGTTTGCACAACTGGGTGATGATAAATCACGTTTTGTCTTTCTAGCAGACGACACCGTTTTACGGCGAAAGCACGCGCTCTATTTGTGACGCTTAATTTATTTTATTAAAAGTTATCGTGTCCCAAAGCATCAACCAATCAAATTGCTTATCTCTGCTTACCCTAAGCGGAAAATGCTCATCTTCGAACTCCATCAAGGCATTGACCTAATCAACACATACACCAAGTTTGAACATTCTAGCCCAATTAGGAAGAGAGTTATCGTGTCCCAAAGCATCAACCAATCAAATTGCTTATCTCTGCTTACCCTAAGCGGAAAATGCTCATCTTCGAACTCCATCAAGGCATTGACCTAATAAACACATACACCAAGTTTGAACATTCTAGCTCAATTAGGAAGAGAGTTATTGTGTCCCAAAAAGTGTGACGGACAGACAGACGGACAGACAGACAGACGGACGAACCCATTTTAATAGTCCCCTGCTTTCTTCGAAAGGCGGGGGACAAATATATATCGTACCTGAGATTTGTTACAAATCGCCTCTAGAATGTTCCATCGGGCATCGGGATTAAGGGTATATATCATTGTTTCTAACGCTTATTGGGAATACGTCACGGAAACAAACTACAATAAAAAAAACATTCTAAAGAGTGAAAACTGACATATTTCAAGCTTAAAGAAATAATTTAGATCCGCCGGCAGAAACCCTATCTCCCCTATTTGTTCATTCTTTTGGTATAGTGCACGTTTCCACCGAAAATGATATCGCAAACAAGTGTTCAATCTATAAAAGCATACATTCCTACAAAATCTTTCTTTAGTCAAGTGAAACAAGAAATTCATAACTATGCGAGGGTGGGGTGAGTATAGGCTAATGGGACAATAGAACAAGTTCGCCTTGATGTTGACAAATACGTAAGACCATATGAACACCGCCTAAAAAGATATATAATGTGATTCAGCTGCAAGGTGATATGCATATATGCAACATAGATAATTAAAATCTCTATTCAAGTTAAACCAACTGTATCTATTTATATTTAAGTCTTACGTCGAGCTGAATAAATTATATGATTTATTGCCATTAAAAAAATCTGGTTAACAGTGTGTAACTAAAAACTAAAATTGGATCTTTATTATTGCCAATGATTTAATGTACTTGAATTTTCTACACGAAGTCTATCTCATCCAGATATTTAAAGTGCGTTTACAATATATTCATTTAAGACAAAACTTTGCTATTTCGGGATTGATATATCGTAAATTCATCTTCATTTGAAGAACTACATCCAAACTACAATGTAAACACGGTTTAGAGACTGTATCTGAACTAGAAGGTGCATCGAACTACGGGGTACATCATGGTTTAGAGATTCTATCTGAAATACAGGGTACATCGAACTACAGGGTACATTATTGTTTAGAGACTCTATTCGAACTACAGTCTATGTGTTTATTTAGAGAGGCTTTATCCGAACTACAGGATACATCCCGGTTTAGAGACTCAATCTGAGTTACAGGGTACATCATGGTTTTGAGACACTATCTAATATCCAACCGGAAAAATGACGATTAATTTAATATCCGCCGATTTGTGTTGCTGCCATTTTGTATTTTCAAAATATATCTTCAAATTCAGAGACATCGAAAACCATATAAAAGACATAGCAAAAGTCATATCTTACTACGAGATGCCCTTTTATTACCAAATTTACCAAGCCTATCGCCAACAAAATAATTATGTTTTTGTGAGACTATTTATTTCCAATGAATGAAATACGAAAGACTAGTACACCTGTCTTTTCAGTCACCCATGTGCTACACATGAAAATTAAGATCCCAGTAACGTGTAATCGATAGGCCAAGTCCCCACACATATGTTCAACGTTACGCTTACGATTATTTAAATGGATTATTTTCCCTCGGGTTAATTTAACAATCAGGTTAACTCCACTGAACACAAACAGTTTATTTCTGGACTAACATATGGTACAGTTTTATTTCACGAATTCACTTGCACGTCGTGTAGGGGTCTTTATATGTTGAAGGAAATGAGAGGGGACTAAAACGACCCTACAACTTTTACAAGCATGGGATTGAAATTACTCTTACTTATTTAGAACTAAAGTTATCATGCCCCAAAGCATCAACCAATCAAATTGTTTATCTCTGCTTACCGTAAGCAGAACATGCTCATCTTCAACTCAGTCAAGGCATTCACTTAATAAACATCTTCACCAATTGAGAAACTATCTCAATTAGGAGAGTCATTATGTTGCAAAGTTTTAACCAATCGCATTGTTTATCGTTCTGCTTACCCTTAGCAGAAAATGCTCATTATCAAACTTAGTCAAGGTATTGATGCAATGAAACTATACATCAAGTTTCATCACTCTCACTTAAAACTAAAGTTATCACAATCCAATTGCTTATCTCTACTTACCCTAAGTCAAAAATGCTCATCTTCGAACTCCTAATAGGGGGGGGGGGGGGGTGGATGGCTGAATGGTTAGCGTGCGCGCGCTGTATCATAAAGTCTGTCATTGAGTCGACTGGCGTGGTTTCGAATCCCCGGTTGTGCGTGACAAGGAGTAGGGTCGCCTGTCCAACCTCGTGGGTTTTCTCCGGGTCCTCCGGTTTCCTCCCACTGCTAAAGACCCCTATGTTCAAGCGAATTATTGAAATAAAATTAAAAACCATATGTTAGTCCCGAAATGACCTAGTTGTGTCGAGTGGACGTTAAACCCCATTTCTCTCTCTCTCTCGAACTCCTAATAAGCACCTACAAACAGTTTGGACATTCTAGCTCAATTAGAAGGAAAGTTATTGTGTCCCAAAACGTATGAGGGACAGACCTAATTTAATAGTCCCCTGCTTTCCTCAAAATGCGGGTGACAATAGAGATATAAACACATAGTCTATAATAAAGACACAAACTAACACATAGGCTATAATAAAGATATAAACTAACACATAGGCTATAATGATATACTAAAGATACAAACTAGGCTGTAATAAAGATACAAACTAACACGTAGGCTATAATAAAGATACAAATTAACACATACAACATAATAAGGATACAAACTGTCAGTGATGCTGGACGGAGGGCCTGACAAGGACAGCTGTCTAGTCCTTCGGATTAAACGAAAAACCGAGGTCCCGTGTATACATTGGAATGCACGTAAAAAATCCTTTGGCAGTTGGAAATCGATATAAGAGTAGGCGATAGTACTGCTGCCCGGGCAAAATTTCTCTCATAGCACACTGTATGGCGTATGCCCGTCTTCATTAGCCCAGCATAGGAGCAGAACAGTAGGACGTTCATTTCATTTTCTTAGGTAATCTTGAGTCTAAAATTTAGCACATCGACGCGATAGATTGCTCATTAGGTATATTAATTTATTATTATCTTGCATTTGTGAGAATTGTATATCTGACACATAGGCTATAATTAAATTGAAAATTTTATTACAGTGTATCAGCCTGTAAGAATATATTAATGCATGTTATGTATCGATAAATGAAATGAAATTGGGTTCAAACGTCAAACTGTTCGGCGACGTGAAGTTAGCTTTATGGTGCGTTGTTCGTTTTTCCATATTCACGAATAACGAACAACGAGCCAGTTTGTTGTTCGGTATTCGCTAATAACGAACAAAAAACTGGCTCGTTGTTCATTATTCAATAGGTATGGAATTAGTAATATATTAAAGTAACGTTTGTAGGGGATACGGGGGGGGGGGGTATGAGTCTAATTGTATTATAAAACTTTAAGGTCTTGGGAAATAGATTCTAACAACCCCTCTTTCTATCTCAGCAACGAGTGGTTTCATTTTGGCGAATAACGTTATTCATCAGATATGGCATTAATATTATACTAAAAGAACTTTTGCACGGAATACGCCGGGAGTGGGTTTTTATGGGCTTAATTAAATTATAAAACTTCAAAGTCTTAGGAAAAAGATTCTAACATATTGTCTTTCTACCCTAATAACGAGCTGTTTCACGAATAACGAACAACGAGCCAATTTGTTGTTCGATATTGGCGAAAAATGAACAACAAGCTGGTTTGTTGATCGTTATTCACTAGATATGGAATTAGTAATATAATAAAGGCACTTTTTTAGGGAATACATCAGGAGTGGGTTTTTATTGGCCTAATTAGTTCATAAATCTTCAAAGTCGTGGGAAAATGATTCTAAGAACCTGTCTTTCTACCCGAAGAACGAGCAGTTTCAGATTGGCGAATAACGAACAACGAGCCTAATTGGATTATAAAACTTTAAAACTTTAATAGATTCGAACAACCTCTCTTTCTACCAGAACAACGGACTTTTTTATATTAGCGAATAACGAACAACGAGCTAGTTTGTTGTTTGGTATTCGCGAATAACGAGCAACGAGCTGGTTTGTTGATCGTTATTCACCAGATATTGAATTAATAATATAATAAAGACACTTTTGTAGGGATTACGCCGGTGTTGGTTTTTCTAGACTAATTAGTTTATAACACGTCAAAGTCTTGGGAAATAGATTCTAACAACCTCTCCTTCTAACCGAACAACGAGCTGTTTCATATTGGCGAATAACGAACAACGAACAACAAGCTAACTTCGCGTCGCTGAACTGTTCTACACCGACTGGGCTAATGAAGACGGGCATACAGGGTGCTATGAGTGAAATCTTGCGAGGACAGCGGCGCTACAGACATACTACTCTTATATTAAATCTCAACTACCAAGGGAAACCATTACGTGCAAACCAATGTGTACTTTAGACCTCTTTTGTTGTCCCATCCGAAGGACTATTCATTGTCCCTGACAAGGGGGAACTACTCAGGAGAATCCTGATGAACTTAGACAAACAAATTAAAAAATGACATAAAACATTTAATGTTACTAACTAGTTATACTGGTGACATCAAAGCAATTAATAGAGCAAATGAAATGAAATGAAATGGAGTTTATCGTCCTATTGTTCTTCTCTGACAGAGATACTAAGACGGAAATTAGTAAGCAATATTATAAAACCATTTAGTTTTATAAACGTGCAATGGCCGTTTCCATGTATGCTTTTTCGCAGCGTTTCCGAACGCGTTTGGGGGTTAGATGGCCGAATGGTTAGCACGTGCGCGCTGTATCATAAGGTCTATTGGCGTAAAGACTTCTAAGTATGTATAACAGATAAATCATCTTGGTGGTGGTGTTTGTTGTAATGTTGATAGCAATATTGGTGATGCTGGTATCGACGCAGATCAGGATGCTAGTGAGGAACATTGTGATGATGGTAATGATGATAGTGAGGCGGTGGGGGAACATTGAGATGACGTTGGTGGTGGTGATGATGGTGATGATAATGCGGCGGTTGTGGAACACTGAGATGACGGTGGTGGTGGTGATGATGGTGATGGTGATGATGATAATGAGGCGGTGGGGGAACACTGAGATGACGGTGGTGGTGGTGATGATGGTGATGATGATAATGATGATGATAGTGAGGAGATGGAGAAACATTGTGATGATGGTGATGATGATAATGAGGCGGTGGGGGAACATTGAGATGACGGTGGTGAGGATGGTGATGATGATATTGATGATGATAGTAAATAGATGGATGGGACGTATGGGGCTAATAATGTGCATGCATCACAATCTTGGTAGTCATAATAATCTTCTGAATCGTAAAGATCTATACAAAATTCGTCTGTATCATATTGCATATTCATATTACAGTAATAGTGGTCATCGTCATATTTATCTTCCGTTTCTAAAATGAAATATGTATCTTCTAATGAACATTTCAATAGAAGGAAATTTTGCACTGTTAATGGTACCTTGAGCTGGGTAACCTTGTCTTGTATGTTTGGTCCTAAATATTGCCTAATAATTCTCCTACACAATGACTTTAAGCAAATGTTATTACAAAATGAATGGTATTCTGATTCTTTAGACACTGGTCTAGTTGTCTGTACGTCATTATTATCTTTGTACCTGTACCCATCTTCCATGAAAGGTAAAATGGAAGCAATGTCGATCCTGGTCACTCCACTTTCATACAACAGTTTTCTATGGTCATTAATTCTACCAGATAAGAGATCCCACAACGGGAAAAGGAACATCCACGTTCGTCTATTATAGCCAAGATTCTGAAAGCAATAGTTTGCATCTATTAGGTACCTAATCAGATTCAGAGCATCCGATAATTGCTCCATATTTATTAATAGAATGGCCACGTCCATCATCGTTTTTCCTCTTCTGTCTGTTATATCCACTCCACAGCCACGGATAATGTATTTACAGAAATTAACATCTGTTGTTACAGCGAAGTCAAGATAGTGTGCCATCGACTTCCCAAACTTATCCAAAATCTTACAATCGGCACCGGCTCTATATAGCTGTTTTACGATGTTATAACCTCCGAGTTTAGCAGCCAACATTAAGGCAGTTTGTCCATCTTTATCCTGAGCATTGACATCTATATCTGAAGACAATATAGCAGCTAACAACACCGAGTCCACTTGACTTGTATTGTAGTACTTACATTTTACGAATCCAATAATACTGAGATGTAAGACAGTATGTCCGTACATGTTGCTTATATTAGTACTGCATCCATGTTGCAACAAGATTTGCATATACACGGTGTTGTCTAAAAGGGCTGCGACCATTAATGGCGTGTTACCTGTAGAATTTTTACGGTTTATATCAATCCGTTTATCAGTCAAAAAGTCCTTACGAAAAGAAGAAACTGAGCCATTTATTAACATTTCTGAATATGAAAGACTTTCCAAAGAAGGAGAGGCTATGTCACATCTGGCTAAATAATGTAAAATGTTATCCCCATTTCCATCCGATCCATCAAAATCAACCTTATTCGAATCCATCAAATGCTTGAGATAATCATAAGAGGTTTTCAGCAAGTGTTTAAGTAATTTATTGTCGCAGTTTTGTGATCTAAATTCCGCACCAAAACATTCCAACAACTTCATTATTTCTATGCTATACTCCCCGCGTCTGCACATTTGATACAAACAGTAATAAACAGCAGATCTACCGCGGCCATCTTGTTTGTTAATGTCTGCACCATATTGATATAGAAGTTCAATAAGTTCTGTGTTGCTGTTTTGTACAGCTAACATTAAGGGCGATTTTCCTTTGTTATCGGGTAAATTCACGTCACAACCATCCATTTTTAACAAAACATCAACAGCATTGAAAGTATTACTTTCTACTGCGAGATACAGAGATGTTCTACCGCAATTATCTTGTTGGTTAATGTCTGCACCATATTGATGAAGAAGTGCCATAAGTTCTGTGTTGCCACGTTGTACAGCTAACATTAAAGGGGATTTTCCTTGGTTATCAGACAAATTCACATCACATGCATCTTGTTTGTTAATGTCTGCACCATGTTGATGAAGAAGTCCAATAAGTTCTGTGTTGCTGTTTTGTACAGCTAACATTAAGGGCGATTGTTCTTTGTCATCGGATAAATTCACGTCGCAGCCATACATTTTTAGCAAAACATCAACTGTCTTTAAATTGTTCTTTTCTACTGCGAGATACAGAGATGTCCTACCGCGTTTATCTTTTTGATTAATGTCTGCACCATATGTTTTTAGCAACACATCACCATCGTATAAATCATCGTTTTGTGCTGCGGGATACAGGGATGTTCTACCGCGATTATCTTGTTTGGTAATGTCTGCACCATATTGATGAAGAAGTTCGATAAGTTCTGTATTACTATTTTGTACAGCTAACTTAAGGGGTGATTTTCCTTTGTTATCGGACAAATTCACATCACATGCATCTGTTTTTAACAGAACATCAATAGCGCTTTTATTGCCATTTCGTATTGCGAAAATCAGAGATGTTCTACCACGGCTATCTTGTTTGTTGATACTAGCACTGTGTTTGTGTAGAAGTTTTATAATTTTGATTTCATTTTTTATTGCAGCCAACATAAGTGGTGTGATTCCATTTCTGTCAGCTAAATCCACACAAGAGTCATTTGTTTCTAATATCATATTTACAGCATACTCGTTGTTGGATATGGTTGCTAGATATAACGGGGTTTCACCAAACTTATTTTGTAAATCAATTTGCAATCCAGCCAAAATAAATTCCTGGAGAAACAAATTGGCGTTTGGTTTTGTGACGATGTGGTGGAGCACGGTACATTGGTTTTGATCTACTGCATGAACATCAGCACCATGATCTACCAAGTATGTCAATACCGACATAAATCCTCTACTGGCGGTCATTAACGAGGGGGTCATCATTTCTGTGGAGGAAATATTTATATCAGCCCCTGCTTCAACTAACGCCATTACTAATGGAAGACACGTGGTCTCAGACTGTCCCAATTGTATAGATAAATGTAAAGCCGAAAGACCTTCGACATTTGAAATTTTATTGATGATGTCCTTCACCTTTTGGTGTTTCAACAAAATGGAAACTGTTTCCAAGTTCTGTTTCCTGCAAGCTAACATAAGAATAGATTCACCCCATTCCGAATTAACACAAAGATTTGGAAATGATACTAAGTATTTCAGTTTATCTATTTCATCTTTTCGAACTGCATTGCAGGAGGCACACCAACATCCAGAATCCATCATTTCCAAGGATAATCCAAAATGCAGCAGAAATCGGAACTCTAGTGAAATATCTGTACGTGTTCAGTTATGTTTAACTAGACTGCCTGGGCAAATCTGAAAATAGTTTTATTTCCATATATTATTGCCTAGACGTAGCCAGTTAGTTTATTATGACGGGAGTGGAGTAGGGGGTGGTGTGTTATCGAGTGTAACGTGAACCTTCAGGTTATGGGTTGGATCCTGGTAATGTACATGACAACAAGTATGGTCGCCAACAATGATTCATCTGTGATATGGGGTGGGGTGGCGAATAGTTAACGGGTTTGCGTTGGATGATTAGGTATGTCCGAGTCGAGTCGGGTGGTTTTCATTCCCAGTTTGTATGTGACAAATAGGGGCGCCTGTCCAATCATGCGAGTCTTCTGTTGTTCTTCCGGTTTCCTCCCACTGCTAAAGTCCCCAACGCGCAAGCAAATTATTGAAATGAAATTGAACCAATTGTTAGTACCGATATGACCTCTCTCTCTCTCTCTCTCTCTCTCTCTCCTGTGACCTCTTTCCAATCAAAGTTAGTAAGACGCAATATGTTTAATTTAGGTCGACATGTATACTAAACTAAACCACCGTATATATATAGTAGACATAGGCATATATATTACATATAACACCATTGTTGTTTTACATACATCCTAATGATATTTACATACATCCTAATCGTATTTATATACATCCTAATCGTATTTATATTACACCATTGACTGGCAACCAATGTTCGAGAAAGGCTGGATCAATAAAGTTATATATAATATCAATAAAAAGGGATAAAAGATTATATACCTTGATTTTGCTAGAAGACAAACCATTTTGGTCGATCAAGGAAGCTGAGTGTCACATCCTATATCGTGTTATTTTAGGTAAGTTACGTCAGTTCACTGGGAAAGCCCGATTATTTGCAAAGGCATCTTGTGTGGGATCTTTATTCGTTTCATGGACACAAATTAAAGGCCATTTGATACTCGTCGTGTTCAACTACAATTTTGAATTATTGGAGTGAATGATGTTCGAAACGGCTTATTTATAATACAGGTTATATAATTTAAAGATAGTTGACGGTATATTATAAACGTATGCAGTACACACAGTCTAGGGTAGTCGGTGTACATATAATATATATATGTAAATGAGGACATGTATACAGTCTAAGTTAGTTGGTGCGTGGCATGTATATAATATACATAAGTGCATGTATACTGTAAGGTTGCTGATGTGTATATAATATATATAAGGGCTGTATACACTGTAAGACAGTCGGCGTGTATATAGTATATATACTCTTCAAAAAAAAAGTAGGGGATATTCAGAAACAATACAAAACTGTGGAAATGCACTGCTGTTTTTATTAGAGATAACCAGTGTATGTTAATAACAGGCCAATTGCCCACACATGAACATAAAGATTTCATATGGGCGGCTTATCGGACGGCCCCATTTCACTTGCAAATAGATAATGGACGTTTTTGATTTTTGTCTTAAAAATGAGTAATATAGCTCCACCAATCCTCAGACATTCAGCAATTCGTCGTGGCATGCTACTACTCAACCGTCCAATCACGATTTGGGGCAATTTGACGCATTCCTCTTGCAGTGCCACGGCCAGTTTTTTGCAGTGTTGCCGGTTGACGTTGACTTCGACGAACACGTCTCCCGATCATGTCCCAGGACTTGCTCTAGGGGAAAGGTCGGGACTCATGGCTGGCTAAGGCATATGGACAATATGGTGACGCTGGGGGTACTCATTCACGAGACGAGCGCGGTGGGCCAAGACATATGGACAATATGGTGACGCTGGAGGTAATCATTCACGAGACGAGCGCGGCGGGCACGGGCATTATCATCTTAAAGGATAAAAGTACACACCAGTGACCCCTTCTTGAACAACATGCAAGTCTGTATATGTTCAACGTTCTGCTTACGATTACTTAAATGGGTTATCTCCCTTTCACCCTCTTTTAAACGCCCAGAAGTAAATTGAATACTTTTTTGTGGCATCAAATTATTGAAAATATATTTTACAAGTAATGAATATGTTTTTTTTATCTTAAAGCTAAGAACTTTAGCAAACTATAAAACGAATATATCAGGTACAAAACTAAGTTATACATAATAAGTCATAGTTCTTTCTATATAAAGAGATACCAAATGAGTGCAGAATAAGGCAAATACTGGCTTGTCAAATATTTTTTTTACAATCAAAATTTGTACTTTAGGATAATCTGTTATACTATCAAAACGGATATCAATCAAATTGTACTATTTAATTTATAATGATCATTCAGGGATTTCAAATTTATAGAATTTTGATCAGTATTTATTAAAGTGATTGTTAGAACTGGTGCCACTCTCTACCCAGATATCAGTATGCCTTAAACTAATGAGTAAGGAAAATAAAAAGCCTGGTTGGTTCCAGGCTTCTGATTCTCATATCAGATGAATTTCTACAGGGGTACAGGTCGCCCCTGGGTGACCCTCCTACTTTGAGGGATGCCCTCGTGTAGTGATCTGCCCCATAAATCTAATTGAAAAAAAATATTCTAGTCATTGATCTGATGGATGATATTCATGTAACACTAATCATTACTTGGATGTATTTTGTTGATAATGGGTGGGTGGGGATGTCCCTACTTTTCAGCACCAACCAGACTGATTTAGATGGAGATGCGCCACGCAATGTGGACACGCAGGAAGCCTACTTTTAGATCGGATTTCAACTGTCAAGGGTTCTTGCACATACTCACCAACCCATTCGTCATGTATCCCTGACAAGGGTAGCACCACACAGGAAATATTAATTTTATATGTGCTATCTAATAAGAATTGTTTTAACGTGAGTTTTAACGTGATAAAAATTGTAGTAATGTTTTCCAATCAGGTTAACTCAAATGAACCCGAACGAGTTTATTTCTGGACTAACATATGGTACAATTTTATTTCACTAATTCACTTGCACGTCGTGTAGGGGTCTTTATATGTGGAAGTAAACAGGAGACTAAAACAACCCTACAACTTTTACAAGCATGGGATTGAAATCACTCTCATTTATTTAGAACTAAAGTTATCATGCCCCAAAGCACCAACCAATCAAATTGCTTATATCTGCTTACCCTAAGCAAAAAATGCTCATCTTCAAACTCCTAATAAGCACCTACAAAAAGTTTGAACATTGTAGCTCAATTAGAAGGAAAGTTATTGTGTCACCCATTTTAATATTCCCTTGCTATCTTCAAAAGGCGGATGGCATTAACGACACAAACTAACACATAGGATATAATAAAGATACAAACTAAATATCAGCTATATAATGCAATTTATTACAATGTAAGAATATATATAGATAGAACTCAATGGCCATTGAAAACCGCAAGTATTCCACAAGCGCTATCGAGTGGAATGCGGCAGGTATACACACTCTTGAACCATTGAATAACCCAAGTGGTATTCAATAGTCATTGAGTTCTGTTTTTATTCCATAACTACATGTAAATCTCAAAATACACTGTACTATCCAGATTATCAAAAATAAATCATCACCAATAACGTTAAAATTCATCATAGGTCCCACCCTTTTTCTTTCTTTTTTACAAAATTGTGGTTGTTAGTGGTGACGTCATTACAGTTTGACGTAATTCTGAAAGTGATGTCTTTCTGGACAAAAGTTGTATGTGAACAAACCATTGAATTCAACCATAGGTTATTCAATGGCTGTATTCAATGATATTTGCTTGTATTCTTCAAAAATTTGCCATTTGATCAATGTTTGAAATAACAGTATTCTATTTACCACATATATCAGAAAGATATATTTTCCAAAGAATGACAATTTTAGTAACATCCAATTAAATAATTTTATCATGAAATATAACAAATTATTGAACATTCGGATCAGGAAAGTGTGTCTAGTTTTTCGGATAATATATAAAACCAAAGGACCCATGTACAAATTGTAAGTGCATGTTAAAGATCCCATGCCACGTAATTATAGAAGTAAAAATGCTAGTCTCAAAGTGACTTAAAATCTATGACAGAGAGAAAGAAATGGGGTTTAATGTCCACTCAACACAAACTAGGTCATTTCGGGACTAACACATGGTTCAATTTTATTTTAATAATTCGCTTGCGCGTATGGGTTTTTAAACAGTGGGAGGAAACCTGGAGGACCCGGAGAAAACCCATGAGTTTTGACAGGCGACCCTACTCCTCATCTCTGATAGTCATTTTAGGGGTTGAAGAATCACTACAATATTGTGAAACTTGATTCTTTAAAAGGAAATGAAATGAAATGGGGTTCAACATCCTACTGTTCTGCTCCTACGGGACTAAGGAACACAGAAATATGCCATATAATGAGGGAATTTTGTACATGCAGCTGCACTACGGCCTACTCTTATATCGAATTCCAGCTGCCAAGGGATCTTTTACATTCACGCCAATGTATACACAGGCCCTAGGTTTTTCATCTCATCCAACTAACTAGACAGCTGTCCTTGTCGGCCATCCGTTCTGCACCACTGACAAGGGGAATCTCTAAAAGGAATATCAGTTCATTTACAAAGACATCAATTGAAAATCTGCCAACATTTGCCATCCACTGCAGACGATGATATAGTTTACACAAGTCAAAGCTCAAATCTTTTTTCTTATTTAAATATTAAATAATCAATTTGGGTATATTTTAGCATGGATAAGCAGTAGAAAATTTGATACTTTCCAAAAGATACAAATGACGCACAGAGAAATGTAATGGCAGGTCTTTCTTTTGGCTTTAAAAATATTGCATGAATTATTTAGCCATTTATTAAAGATACATTATGGGAGATAAGATAAAGAGATGGCAGTTCTCGCTATAATAGTTAAAAACTAGATAGTGTAAAGGTAATTTGCTGAAAATTTCAGTCAAATTGATCCACTATGAGCCGAGAAAAAAGCGGTTGAAATTTTTGCATAGTCTCGGTCATCATTACTAAAATCATTAATATAAACAGCATAGTCTCGATTAACCACTTTTTCTGATTTAATTATCAACGGCCGTTAGTGGCATATAGGAATCTAATCCAGCCAGCATCGAAGGCTAGCCTTGACATCGAGAGTTTATTATGGTCTGGGTAAGTTAATTAATGTCTAATTGATAATTTAGATAACATTTCAGGCCTAAAGAAAGACTTGTAATAAGCAGATTTTGCTCTTGCATAATGTATGTTTAACATTAACAAGAATAGAATCAACTCTGTAGATCATTAGATGGCCTTGATTTAAATGGATTTGAACACCCACAAGATGTTGCTGAAATCAATATAATCTCTGACCATAAATCCAGCGATATTTGTTTAGAAAGTTACGAGTAGGGAAATTAATTCAAACGGTTTAAATTCTAGGGTTATCTGCGTCTGTTGACCACTAGTTACATTAAGACATCTTTCATCAGTAATCACCTCTTCCAAACAATTACATCTGGAAATATAGAAATTACCACAAAACATAAATCACAGAAAATAAGTGAATTGATATCAAGATTACTGGTAATTAACATCCTACTTATAACTAATACCATGTCTGACAGCAGCGCTACAGCTTACTCTTACTTCGAATTATAAGTGTCAGGGGTCCTTTTATGTGCACACCAATGTGAAAACTCCCATCCGAACGTCTAAACACTGTCCTTGTCAGGTCCTCAATCCTGCACCAAAGACGAGGGAAAACTGAACAGGAATATCCTTAGTAACTTTCTCTGGCGACACCAGGAGCAACTAAGGACCTTCTGTTTAGCACGCCAACATCTTACTCACTGATTCACAGTGGCTCCCTCACAGGGGAAAAAAGCTAAATAACTAACATAACTCCATGCACATACTGGACATGGTTTGTATTTATAAACGAATAACAATATTACTACTTTCATAAATTATGTACTTGGTTTTTGTTTTTCTTAAATTACCAATATTAACAGAACGGCTACTTTAACGATACCATCAAGACCCAAATTAGGAATTGTGACAATGCTGAGATGTATCCCTTCTTTCTATAAAGAGAGAGAAATGGGGTTTAACGTCCAATAGACTAAAACTAGATCATTTCAGGACTAACATAATTCACTTGCAAGGAGGGATCTTTAGTAAAGGGAGGAAACTGGAGGACCTGCAGCAAACCCCAGGGGTTGGACAAGGAATCGAAAGCCACACCACTTGACTCAATGACAGTCCTAATAATCCAAATAAATACCATACCTTTGTACTGTTATGTTCTTGAATACAGTTGATATTTCAGCTGTTGTTGATCCACCATAAGTTTCATATAATCTTAGCACTATTTTATTCCCACTATCTTCACTCTGTTAAATAAACATAGGTTGCCAGGCAATGAAACATACATCCATAGCATCTGAGTCATCCGTGGTATAAAGGGTGTTTCAATGGTATTTATAAAACAATAAAAACTGGTATCCATTCAGTAATTATCAGAAGTAATTATTTTCCAAAACATGTACTGGTAATCAGACGATAACTTTATCGGAAATTGGATCAAATCATATAAGCTTTTTTCATCTCATGATCATGAAATTTCGTATCAATCAATTTTGAGTCCATCAGATGATAACTTTAGCCTCTAGATCATTTGCAAAAAAATGAGGACGACAGACTGATGGTGGTGACAACAATCTACAATCACGTCTCATGATGATGATAACAGTCAACATTAATATTGGGATGGAGATGATGATTATGATCAACATTAAATGTTTCGTACATTATTACTAGCATAATATTACTAATATGATGATGATGATGATTTTTATTACATTATTACTAGCATAATATTACTAATATGATGACAATGATGATGATGATGATGATGATATATTACCAGTTTAACAGTATCGAGTATAACTTGTGTAGTATTGACTGTAAAGTAACTACTACTGGTAGTCAAACTGTTACCAGTTTTTATAATTAATGGTGAGTTTAGATTACAAGCTTGTTGTATAACTCCACTCTCTTGTAAACGTCCTGTAATATACAATAATAATAACCAATGGTGTGAGGTTGAATATCTTGTTTAAACAGCTGCCCCCCCCCCCCCCCCCCCACACCCAAACCACCCCAATATAAATTTAGGCAATCAGATTTTAAGGGCAGACGTATAAAGTGAAAAAATAATTAATATAATATTTTTGGGGGCAGAAATCACAACAGGCCCGTAACTGGGGGGGGGGGGGGAGGTAGGCCCTAAAATTAAGGGTTAGGGTTGGGTTAGGGTTAGGTTTCGCCCCCATTGTGAAAAAATTGTCGACCATGAAAACAAGATATATACATTGTTCGTCAATTTTACGGCAACCCAGAGAACACTTCCCGCCCCCCTCGTTGTTCTGAGCTAGTTACGACCCTGAAACACAATCAAACTAAAGTGCCCTAAAAAGTTTTTGCCTTCTAGACGACAAAATAAAGTGCCTGGAATTCCATTACTTTTCGGTCTGAAGCATTGTGCTGAAGACATTATTTGTGTCGTAAAATTTTTGGAAATATTTAAAATCCGTGTAATAAAAAGTGTGTGCAGCGCCGTTCAGAGTCTGATCAGCTATATTACGGAACCACTTTCCTAGTTGCTATATCCATGGGCAGAAATAGCCTCAAAACATTTTTGCAGCCGTCTAATTTTTATAAATTCACCCCACTCCACCCATTTTATTTCTGCCCCCTCTACCACCACATCTGGAATTCTGGTGGGGACAGAATCGGATTATGCGGTTTGTTTTGTTCTGATTATCCAGTGATATTCTGACTAAAGTATACTAACCTTGATGAGGCATGACAGCATACGTAAATTCATGGTCACCCATGTCAGCATCAGCATCTGGGGCTTTGGGTGATCGCAGTCTGTACAAAAATGAACACATAATGTTCAATATTAGTAATTTTCTCCCAATTGACTTCAGTGTTTAAACATATATTATGCAAGAGCTAAATCTGCCTTTCTTTAGGTCTGAAATGTTATCTAAATTATTAATTAGAAATTAATTAATTTATCCAGACCGTAATCAACTCTCCATGTGAAAGCTAGCCAGTGATGTTTATTGGATTAGGTTCCGATTTGCTGTTCAACTTCCATTCATAATTTAATCATGAAATGGATAATCAAGACTATATTTTTTATCCTACCGACTTCAGTAATGATGATCAAGGCTAGGTCGAAAATTCAATCGCTAAAATCTGGGTTGAGAGGATCAATTTGACTGAAATTTTCAGCAAATTCCCTTTACATTATCTAGTATTTAACTATAATAGTGAGAACTGCCAGCTCTTTATCTAATCTCCCATAATGTACCTTTAAATATAGCTCATAGCTTCAATCAGCATAAATAATAATAACCTGTGCGCTATCATATTCTAAAAAATAAAACTTACAATGACAGACGTAGAATTCCATCAATAGCTGAGTAGCCATATTTACAGTCATTTAATACAGCTAATCCTTGATTATAGTCTGATATATCAGCCCATTTATGTCCACAAACCTATAATAAAGACCATGATTATAGTCCTATATTATATCAGCACGCTTATGTCCACAAACTTATAATATACATCATTGTAATATTTTGGTTATTGCATCAATACTGTCATGTTTCTATGCATGTATCACACTGACTTTCAATTTTTTTCTGCCAAAATAGATGATAATATTTATATAAAAAGATGTTCATTTCTTTTTTCACCCCGCCAACTGGAATATTTTATCTGCCAAATGGTGTGATAAAAAAGACAACATGCAACAATTTTATTTCTCAGGTAGGCCTATTATAAAATAGTTACTGGTATATATATACTGAGCGCCATGGAAAACGCATCACTTAGTTTTTCGTATAACAAAATGATCCTGTAAACATATCTTATTTATTTTGCTTCTTATTGTGAACAATATTCAAATGGGAACACATCAATAACAACACATTTGTACACTTATGGATGTTTAATCTGTAATCAAGGGTACAAAGTCAGAGGGGTCAAAACCAAAAGTACGACACAGATGTCAGTAGCGCGTGTGTCCTCCACGGGCCATCACCACAGTAGACTACAGCATTAACGCGACCCCTGCAAATATGTAGGGCGGTCCGGTGATGAAATGTGAAGCCTCCCCACACCATCACACTTCCCCCACCCCATCGATTCGTTTTGAAGACACAGCAGTCTGCAAGACGTTCCCCAAGACGTCTCCACACACGTTGACGGCCATCAGCGTGATAAAGATGAAAGCGACTCTCATCACCGAAGAGCGCACTTTGCCAGTCTACTCTTCTCCATGTCTGGTGTCCTTGAGCCTATATCAAACGCCGCTGACGGTGATGATCCCTGAGGATAGCCCCAACATAAGGTCGTTGTGCACTGAGTCCTACTTCTCTTAGACGACGTCTTACGGTGTTGGCACTTACTGGTCCTTGTCTTCCGACGACTGCTGCACCTGTTCGAGTCGCTGGGCGGAATCTGTCACGCAATGAGTGACCCGGATGTAGCTGTCTTGAGTCTGAATTGTAACGCGTTGTGGACCAGGACGTTGACGGTCACGTGTTGATCCAGTAACTCGGAACACGTTCCACCAACCTTATAATAGTGGAATGATGACAATTGAAGTGTCTGGCAATAGCACGTGTAGACATTCCAGCCCGGGACATTCCAATGGCTTCATTCTGTTGATTTTCAGTAAGTCTCAGCATCTCTAGCTCGATTCCTTCACACGTCCAACAACAAATTACTACAGATTGACGTTTCACAGTTCATGTACTGCACATTAAGTTGAAAACATGCTTTTAAAGGGCTCACACACAATGCTGCACGTGAATATTGAGTTTTTCATGTGCATCTCGTGTAATTTTTTTTGTGCATACGGGTTGATATTTTTTGCGTTTGGGAGCATTGTGTGAAACAATAGTTCATAGTATTGCATAATATTATACATACACAAGCACCTAGTAATAAAATATTTGGGAAAAAAAAGGGATGCGTTTTCCATGGCACTAAGTATAAAATATATAACAACTTAAAAAATCCTTCTTTACATAATACATTAGCCCAGTTTTGAGATGATTCACTAAGATCAGATTGTTTTTTGGCGACTTTATAGTCTATTTGTTTAACGTTTTACTGTTCTGCTCCGATTGGGCTAATGAAGATGGGTATAAGCCATACAGTCTGCTATGAGGGAAATTTTGCCCGGGCAGCGGCACTATGGTCTAATCTTATACTGCCAAGGGATCTTTTATGTGCACACCAATGTATACACGGTACGTCATTTTTTTTATCCCATCCGGATGACAAGACAGCTGTTCTTGTGAGGCCCATTGTCCTGTATCACTGACAAGGGGAAACCACGTCGGAAAATCCCGATGAACTTTCTTAGCCAATGCTGGGATCAAACACACAACCTCCAGGCTACAAACTGAAATGAGAGCTCAGGATGGGCGATACAAAATAAAATTATTTAAACAACTTACTTCAAATCTAGCAGAATCCCAGGAAGTGTTATAATGGTTAGGTCTCTCTATAAAACCATACTGTATATCAAACGATACCTTGTTGCTATGGATACTTGTAGGAAATTCCACTTTCAGGAACTTTCTGTTCTCATGCCAAGAAACCTAATATTGGTATTGGAACAAATTAAAAACATTTTGAGAATCTGAATTCGCACAGAATAGTTCCTAGAGCTTATGTCTCTCAGTCTTTGAGTTTGTCCCGCTTTCCCACCCATAATAAACACAATTAAAGGAGCTAAATCGCTAACATTTGGGACCTATAAATTGACAAAAGTGGGATGCAACGCATTTAATACTGTAATATGAATGTATATAAACTGATTTACATTCAATGGTTTCCGCTTTTACTCCAATTTCAAATCAGTTATGTTCGGCGAAATAAGCCAGCAGTCTCAATCGAGTGCAAATTTCTAGCGTCTGGTTATTCCAGTCTACATACGCCGTTTGATTTGGTGCAATGTGTCTAGCCTCGTCCCTCGAGTCTCTTGTTACAACTGGGGCTAAAGCGCATTATGGTAAACGATTCGTGTACCAATGGTAAAATGTTTATTTTGTCTTACATATTGGATATCAAAAGCCCATCTTTTTCCGGTAAGATGAATGTTGATTTAATTTGACAAATAAATCGTGTTTTCAATGTTGAAGGTTTTGTTTGATATTGAGTTAGAGACTTAGCTACTTTAAATACACACCAAAAAACATAGAGTCAACAGAGCATTTGTGGCTATATAAAATTGTTTTAGACACCTTGTATCCTTCTAAAGAACACCAAAGTTGCCACTCCCAATCACTTCCAGCTTCACTAATGACCCAAGTTTTAAATGCTATATACAATTACCCAAGGTTTAAATGTTATATATAGCTTACCTGTGTTATAAATGTTAAATAGATCTTACCTGTGCTATAAATGTTATCAGGGGCAGATTGGGCCATCGGGCGATCGGGCAACCTCATAAAGGGCCGGTCGGACAAAATATTAAAAAGATAATTTTGTCCAATACGCCTTAAAAACCTTTTCTGCTGAACATTATATGGGGGGGGGGGGGGGGTATTGGACTGGTCATGGAGCGATGATGATCATGTTGTATGTGGTCGGTGGCTTTAACGGGCCACCACGCCATCACTTGAGTCTGGAATGGGCTGGTATAATAGACTTTCTGGGCCGGGTGTGCTGGGTGTGGGCCGGAATTCGGAATCCTGCAATGGGGATTCCGAATTTCATCAGAAAATTTAATGAAATATGCCACCAAATCGCATATTTGGGATTCATTTTGAAAAATTTCCCTAGGGGGAGAGCCCTCGGTCAGTAAATGAGGCCGCTCCTACACGGGAGCCTGAGTCGGTTTCAGACACCAATCTGCCCCTGAATGTTATATATAGCTTAGCTGTGTTATAAATGTTAATTAAAGCTTACCTGAGTTTTAAATGATACATACAGCTTACCTGAGTTTTAAATGATACATACAGCTTACCTGAGTTTTAAATGTTATATTAGCTTACCTGAGTTTTAAATGTTATATATGGTGATCCAGCATCTAAAGTTATCTCCTGTTTAATATGACTCACTTCAGATATTCTTAAGCAAACCTATATAATAAAGAAGTTATTACAGTCAAAGGGGCAATAACCCCAAGAAAAGAAATTTCAATGGTTTCCTTCTGGTGAATAACTGAAAAATCCCAGCAAATTCTTTTATTTAATTGTAAATCACTTATCCTTCACCCAAGTATTCACAGATCCTTACAAAAAGCAAATATATAGATATCTATAAAATTTTTAAATAGAGAGAGAGAGAGAGAGAGAAAGAGAGACAGAGAAAGATTTTTTGGTTCTTATGATCGGATATGACAATAAAAAGACAGGAGATATTGACGATATATATATACATAGAGAGAAGAAGGCGGAAGAGATGGGGTTTAACGTTCACTCGACACAAACCAAGTCATTTTGGGACTAACAGATGATTCAATTTTTTTTCAATAATTCGCTTGCAGGTAGGGGTGTTTATCAGTGGGAGGACACCGGAAGACCAGGAGAAAAACCCACGAGGTTGGACAGACGACCCTACTCCTTGTTACGTACAATCAGAGAATCGAAACCATGCCAGTTGACTCAATGACAGATCTTATGATACAACTCGAACGCACTAACCATTCGGCCATCCAATCCCCCCTTCTAAATAAAGCTCTAAATAAAACTTGTTTACCTGAATGGTGACACGTAGTGGTCCTTTATCTATAATAACAGCTTTCTGGGTTACATTGTCAACTAACTTCCTACCAAAACATAATTAAACATATTTATAAGACATACAAACTTTTTACAGATATTAATATACAAGTCTCAGATTCAACCATGAACTTCCAAGATCAAATAAAGTGTGGATTGTTCACAATGATTAAAGAAGGTCTGAATTAGATTTTTTAAACATAAGATATGTATATATTGCACAGGAAAATCAATACATTTTGGATGAGAGTATCATCATCGAAACTTTGCATGTTAATAAATCAGTAATTGTTATTCCATAAATAGTGTTAGTGTGTTACTGTTCAATTACTAAATGACACTTAAAGAAGATATTTTGGAATTTTGAATACCATTCACCATATCTTGATGTCCCACTGGGCATATTCCTGGTCAGACTTTTTGAAAATGGCTTAGGACATGTCCAGAGTAGCAACCCTGATTGTTAACCTTTTAGCCCCTCGACAACTCAAAACTGCTCAATTTGGACTCAACTAGATTGCTCCAAACTGCCTAAGTCACGGGAACAACTGTTCTTCCTCCCAAGAACTAGTAAACGGTCACTATAATTAGTGTTGTTTAATTTTATAAATACTATGAACTTACCTGGTTTCTAAATGGTAGTCCATAACATCCCAGGCGTCCCAGTATAATGGAATGTCATCATATATCAGTAGCTGATTGCCTGGATGATCAGCGTTTATTAAATTTCTGTCATGAAAAAATTTTATCATGTTAAGTGCAATAAAATAACAATAAGATCTCTCTGATTTACCTACAAAATAACAATTAGATCTCTCAAATTTACCTGGGTCTTTTACGTGCACGTCAAAATGTTTCTGTATACATTGATTGTTTTTTTAGTCCCATCCGAACAACTATACTTTCTCTCTTGCCAGGTCCTGCACCACTAACAAGGGAGATTATTGTAATTAAGAGAGAGAGAGAGAGAATAATTCACTTGCTCGTAGGGGTCTTTAGTAGTGGGAGGAAACTGGAGGACCCGGAGAAAACCCATGAGGTTGGACAGGCGACCCTACTCCTTGTCACATACAACCGGGGATTTGAAACCACTCCAGTTGACTCAATGACAGTCCTTATGATACAGCACGCACATGCTAACCATTCGGCTATCCACCCCCCATCCCACACCTTGTAATTAAGAACAACTGCTATTGTAATTAAGAACAACTGCTATTGTAATTAAGAACAACTGCTATTGTAATTAAGAACAACTGCTATTGTAATTAAGAACAACTGCTATTGTAATTAAGAACAACTGCTATTGTAATTAAGAACAACTGCTAATGTAATTAAGAACAACTGATATTGTAATTAAGAACAACTGATATTGTAATTAAGAACAATTGTAATTAAGAACAACTGCTATTGTAATTAAGAACAACTGCTATTGTAATTAAGAACAACTGCTATTGTAATTAAGAACAACTGTGTAACTTACACTTGAGGAGTTGTTGTATTATATAATGATATAATTCTACCATTATTATCTAAATCAGCTGACAATAAACCATTGGACAACTGTATAGCACTTTCCTAAAACGGAAAAAAAAAAAAAAAAATAGATTCATATATGGCACTTGCCTTCACTCCAGTGATCGAACATTATGTACATCAGATAAACAACTTTTAAAGCCCCAAACTGTTCAACCAGTCTATTATGGTCAGTGCTCTTTTAGTTTTCAAGCCCCTGTTTTATGGAATAATCTATCATTTACTTTAAGATGTTGCACATCTCTATATTCTTTTAAAAAATTACTTAAAACACATTTATTTAAACATTTTAACTGACTCTGTATACAACTGTTAACATGTTCATAATAACCTTATTGGGTTTTTTGGGGTTATTTTATTCATCCAGATTTTCCGACGTGGTTTTCCCATGTCAGTGGTGCAGGAAGGAGGGCCTGACAAGTACAGCTGTCTAGGCGTTTGGATGGGACGGAAAACCGACGTCCAGTGTAAACATTGACTTGCATGTTGGAATTTGATATAATAGTTGGCTGTAACGCTGCTGCCTGGGCAAAATTTCCCTCATACTACACTGTATGCTGTATGCCCGTCTTCATTAGCCCTGTTGGAGCAGAACATTAGGCAACAAAATAATAGGTAACATGCATGTCAATGTGTACACAGGACCTCAGTTTTTCATCCTACCAGAATGACTAGACATTGTTCCTTGCCAGGCCCTTTGCTCTACAACACTGACATGGGGAACCATACCATAAAATCCTAAAGAACTTGCTTTGCCTACACCAGGAATGAACCGGAGACCTCTTGATGGTTAGCAACCAGCGAGACAGAAGCGCATACCATCAAATGTCTTAAATAAATATTTAATGATGGGATTTAAAAACATAACTAACCGTTTGGTTAACAGTGACTGGAGCAGGAATATCAACCTGTTGTAACTCAGAAATTCCAAAACTAGGAACCTCACAATACACTGAAATATGAAACAGTAACACATTTATTCAAGATACATGCAAGAAAAATATCACCACATTATGGCATTATGGACTTATTGTTTGACCTGGGCAAATGGTATCCAAGGAGGTTGGTCAGTAGCAGACTTCAAGCAAACAGACAGTGTGGAACAAATATTAACCAAGGAGATTGGTCAGTAGCAGACTTACTAATCCTTCCATCAAAGACCCTATGGAACAAATGGTAACCTAGGAGATTGGCAAGTAGGAGACTTATATCAAAGACACTGTGGAACACGAGGTAATCTAGAAAATTGGTCAGTAGAAGACTTTAATCAAACAGTTTGTGGAACAAATCGTAACCTAGGAGATTCGTCAGTAGCAGACTTACATCTAAGACATTGTGTAACACGAGGTAATCTAGAAAATTGGTCAGTAGAAAACTTTAACCAAACCGAGTGTGGAACAAATGGTAACCTAGGAGATCCATTGGCCAGTAACAGACTTACTAACCCTTCCACAGTGTGGAACAAATGCTCAACAAAAAGTCAGAAGCAAAATGTCAAAGAGGATCAAACTGTGAGCTCTACTGTACACATAATTATTAATGAATTATCTCCCTTTACATAATATCATTTAAAGGGGAAGAACAGCATTTACCGGTACATCAACATTCAGTCAAATTCAGTCCCTCACCTAAATCATCTCCTTTATGATCAACTTGTTGGCTGGATTTATCTGTTTTAACTTTCTTCCTAGATGGGCTTATATCACCTTTAGTAAGGGAGATAACTTCTCTTCTATTCCAACCTAGAGTGTTCACAACAACAGAATTATCCCCCTTCTGTAAAACATATTCAAAAAACATATTCTTTTTTTTTAGCTAAAACTAAGAAATAAGTCACAATTAGGACACACCAAATGGATTTTCACCTCATCAGTATCTGGGAGTTGGATGGCCGAATGGTTAGCACGTGCACGCTGTATCATATGGTCTGTCATTGAGTCAACTGGCGGGGTTTCGATTTCCTGGTTGTACGTGACAGGGAGTAGGGTCGCCAGTTCAGCCTTCACCGGGTCCTCAGGTTTCCTTCCACTGCTAAAAACCCCTACGTGCAAGCGAATTATTGAAATTGAATCATGTGTTAGTCCCGAAATGACCTACTTTGTGTTGAGTTAATGCTAAACTTCCCTCTCTCCCTCTCTTCTCAGGATCTTGATAAATAATTAGCCACTTGAATCATGTGAAAGATTGCTTGGTTTAAAAATTCAAAACCTTGAAAATTTGCAACTAAAAGCTTTTAAGCAGCACAAGCAAGCAGCTATCTTTTGGTTTTTACATGACTCTTTTTCCCCGAAGAAATAAGAAGGAAAATTTTTTAATAGTTGTCTTCATTTTTTTTTTTTTTACATAACATGTAACATCTTACTTGAGTAATTGCTGTCAACGATTTATCTAGTAATTCATTTCCTGTTTTCTGTATATCTGGGGAAAAAAAATTATTATTTAAGGAGTCTTAAAGATTCCAGAATATTCTTAAAAATAGATCATCAATTATTAACCTATTTTAATCCTTCCAGATAGAGATATTAAAATAATTGGTTGTAGCCAAATAGAATTAAACAGGTATTGTATTTTTCTTTATTTTTTTGGGGTGGTAATCATAGGTTTTAAAATTCAATATGCTATACATTACATAACAGAAATATTTTTCATTGAAGCCTATTAAAAGATAATGGAAATTTATTGACTCTATATCTTGGTGCATGGCGGGTTCATTACCAGATGGTTTAGGAACCCTGCCTCGATATACAGTCCAAATAACTTTGAGTTTTGATGTAAATATTCCTATATTTGATTGTATTTGACTTTTTTCTATTAAGATTTGTGTACAGTGAATACCTTTTGGAATCCACGGTGTTGTATACAAAAGCTTATTGAACCCAAATATGAGATTCATGGTAAAAAAGAAATCTACAACTAACCTCTGTAATATTCATGGGCATCTGTATAGACCTAGAAAAAAAACCAAAGAGTTGCCAGGCAACAACAAATACACACACCAGCAGTTTGTCATAACTGAAATCACAGTAGAATTAACTGAATCTCAAAAAGTATGTTTATAAGGTTTCAATGACAGCGGAAATTACTAATGAAAACCGATCTGCAGAAAAAGTTTTTAAAGAAATATGGACGGACAGACAGTGGTGATGACAATACACTTCAACATAAAAAATTAAAACATTAAAAATAAAACTTGAATCCAGAGACGTTCTTCAAATTACAAAAGACGTCATCTTACGGTATGCCTTTAGTACCCAACAGTCATGGGGTTTGTACATCAGAAGCCATTAATCAATCATAGTGGGGTTTGTACATCTGAAACTATTATTCAACAATCATACGGTTTGTGCTTTAAAAGCCATTAATCAACTGTCCTGGGATGGGAATTTGTACAACTGAATCCATTAATTCAACTTCAAGGGGTGTGAAAATCTGAAGCTATTAATCAACCGTCACTGGGCTAGAAATTCATGCGAATCTCCAAATCTGATTCGCGCAAGGATTCTTGCAAGAGCTTACGTTGCAAATCTACAAGGATTCGCGTAAAATTTTTCTAAAAAAGAAAAACAAAAACAAAAAAAACTTGGAGAATTGTCTAGTCCGACTATTGAATGTCGGTCAGTGTTCGTAGTCAGCTGTATTTTCAGCCGACTGACATTTAATCTAGCCGATCTCAACATGTTTTGCGAATCGCACGTCTTCTACGCTCCGTCCGTGTGAATTCCAGGTACAGGTAGATATTAAAATAATAACTGGATTATACATTGATGGATTCACTGACCAGTTGTTAGGTCAATTTAAACCTTCATTGAATATAATCCTCTGGTAGAACACCGAATACACGGAAAGAGAAACAGTGGGTATTTTACCAACAGAATCTCAAATGCTGAATTCCAATGACGTGACATATCGGTTGGAATTGGGTCAATAAACCAGATCTAAATAGCGTTTATACACATGCTGACAGAGGCTTAATTTTAAACATATTATTGAAGCTATATCATAGTTGTACAGAATTTTGTTTTATAGCAATTTCAATTGTAGTTGTCACGTGATCATTGTGCCGTTTGTCTATCATCGAGGAATGAATAAAAACTTTTGCAGGTTACGTGACTAGTTACGCGATGGACAAAAGACTACAAATTGTGCTATGAAGAAATGCAATTGTGTGATATCAACTTATTTTGACTAAGGCATTTTCTGGATATTACTTTTGACACTATTTAAGTGTTTACCAAAAAATCCATATCATTGTTCTATTTTTAACATTCTTCTTGTATTTTGATGTTTTAGATTAACACAATAAACACAATCTTGTTTTTTAGACAGTATTATTAATTAAGATTTTGAGGATTCGCGCAGATGCCATTTATGAGAATCCTCTTAGATTCTCACAACCAGCGGCTGCCAGGCAGGATACGCCCACATTTTCGAGAGATGAATAGAGAACAAGCTAAAAAGAAAGTGATTTTTCCTACAATCAAGGACCATAATTCAGGAAATAACAATTCGATATGCGCAAATATCGAAAGGAACCAAGATCTTTGGGTTATAAACTTACATTTCAAGTTTCATCAAAATAGGATTAAAATTGTGACCTCTATAGGATCTACAACTTTGATATACCATATATTTACGCTATTTGAGAACAAAGGGCGACCATTTTGTCTGTCAGTTTTGGGCTGAGTTTCACGAAATTCGAACTCAGTCATCCTTAGGGTGTAACGGTGATATAATAATACTGTTTTTTAAATCGGATAAAAATTATGATCTCTATAGGGTTCACAAGCTAAAAACCAGATTTTTCGTACAATCAGGGGCCATAATTCAGGAATATCGAAAGGAACCAAGATCTTTGGGTTATAAGCATACATTTCAAGTTTAAACTAAATCGGATAAAAATTGGGACCTCTACAGTGTTCACAAGCTAAAAGCGTGATTTTTCGTACAATCAGGGGCCATAATCCATGAAGTTACAGTCCGATACATGCCAATATCGAAAGGAACCGAGATCTTAGGGTGATAAACCTATATTTCAAGTTTCATTGAAATCGGATAAAAATTATGACCGGTACGGACGGACGGACAGGGGCGATGACAATATACGTCCATATGAAAATGTGGGCGTATAAAAAATGACGCATTTCTAGCCCTGCCATCATGAGGTTTGCACATCAGAAGCTATCAATCTACCATCATAAGTTTTTTAAATCAGAAGGTATTAATCAACCATTATGGGATTTGTACATCAGAAGGTATTAATGAACCATTATGGGATTTCTTCATCTGAAGCGTTTTATTAACCATCATGGGGTTTGTATATCAGAAAATATTAATCAACCATGGTGAGGTCTGTACATCAAAAGCTATTGATTAACTGGTCATGGGGCTTGTACATTAGAAGCTATTTTCAAGAAGTAAGGTTTAGATGATGAACTTACAATACCAATAGAAGATCCAGGTAAAACATCATGGAACTGGTTTAACAACAGAAGTTTCCACAGGCGATCTAAATCTCCTGATGGATATTTATAACGACTTCCACTGGTTCCTGATAATACTGTTGCTATGGTTGCCAGAAATTCCACATCACGAAGCAATAATTCACCTTTACGATTCTGCTTCTTCACCTGTTAATGAAGATAAATCTAAACAAATATTGTGGAACAGATGTTCTTAAATTTAGTGTGTCAGAGGGTTCCGTTTCACAAAACACACAAAACAGTAATAGTAAACTGTTGCTGTTTAATACACATACGAGGGGTGATTGATAAGTAGTGAGTCTAACACAGAAAGAAACAAAAAATTGAAATCAAATGCATTGATTTTTCAACATAGTCCCCCTTCAATGTAATACACTTCTGTCATTGGTGTTGCAGAGCCTTTATTCCAGTTCTGTAGAAGTCTTTGTCTTGGGTGTGTAGAAAATCATCCACAGCGCCAATGACATCATCGTCAGACGGGAAATGCCTACCGGAAAGACATTTCTTCAGAGCAGGAAACAGATAGAAGTCTGAGGGAGCTAAATCAAGAGAGTAGGGTGGATGCTGAAGAAGTTGAAAACCAGTCATGGATTGCTGACATGGCAACAGCTGATTTGTGCACTGGCGCATTGTCCTGGTGGAAAATCACACCTTTGGTCAGCTTTCCTGGTCTTTTGGTCTTAATTTCTTGCCTCAACTGCCTTATAAGTGCTGCATAGTATCTACCGTTAATTGTTTGACCCTTTTGGAGGTAATTCACCATGAGAACACCCCCAGAATACTGAGGCCATCACCTTTCCTGCCGAGGAAACAGTCTTTGCCTGCTTTGGGTCACATGTTTCCACTGTTTTGACTGCTCTTTTGTTTCTGGCTGAAAGTGGTGAACCCAAGTTTCATCCATAGTAACAATTTGTTTTAGGAAGTGGTCAGGATCGGTTTCAAATAAGGCTAGATTCTCTTCTGACATGATGTGTCTTGGACGCTTTTGATCAGGCGTCAAAAGCTTTGGCACCCATCGTGCTGAAACCTTTGTCATTTCCAAAGTTTCAGTGATAATAAAATGAACTCTCTTCTGGCTAATACCAACTACCCCAGCTATGAATCGTTCAGTAACTCGCCGGTAATTCATTATCAGATCATGGGTTTTTTGTACCATTTCAGGTGATGACAGTTTTTGTTCGACCAGGGCGTGTTTCGTCTTCAATGCTGTTTCGGCCACGCTTGAATTCAGCTGACCACCTTTTAATTGTATCATATGAAGGAGCATCATCTCCTAATGTCTCAACCATATCATCATGTATGGCTTTCGGTGTTATGGCTTTTTATGCAGATACTTAATCACAGCTCTGATAACAACAGAACCTACTTGATTGTTATGACCTGTCACAACCAAACAGTTTAACAGAATGTGATGAAAGTTTGTGACAGAGCCTGAGGAACATAATAGTGCACGTGCAAAACGTGGTATCATTGTGTTGCACGGTTTTCCAATCAAGGCTCACTACTTATCAATCACCCCTCGTATGCTTTGTAAAATGAGACCCCAGTCATTAACAGACTTTATTTTTTTTAAGTTTTCCTGTTTCCTTCTGACTTGTATGTAAAAACAACCACTGGAATATAGTCAGTTGTACATTAAAAACAGTTTATTTTTTATGCAAAAATATTACTCCAGTCTTCGTTGTATATGTATGAATCATTATGTAAATATATACCTCAGCATGTGTTGTATATTCAAATATATACCACATATGTTGTATATTCAAATATTTACCTCAGCATGTGTTGTATATTCAAATATTTACCACATCATATGTTGTATATGTGAATATTTACCTCATCATGTGTTGTATATGTGAATATTTACCACATCATATGTTGTATATGTGAATATTTACCTCATCATGTGTTGTATATGTGAATATTTACTTCATCATGTGTTGTATATGTGAATATTTAACTCATCATGTGTCGTATATGTGAATATTTTCCACATCATGTGTTGTAAATGTAAATACATACCTCAGAATATGTTGTATATGTAAATATTTACCTCATCAAGTGTTGTATAAGTAAAAATATGCTGTATATGTAAATATATACCTTAGGATGTATTGTATATGAAAATACATACCTCAGCTTCTGTTGTATATGTAAATATTTACCTCAGCATGTGTTGTATATGTACCATTATGCATTTCCAGATAGAGTTCTCCAGACCACGTACATAGATTTTTCTCTTCTTTACTTTCAATATTAGAGAAAAATTCATCTGGTGAACTCATCTTTACCCTAAAAATAATGTAGGACATGTCCACCAAATTAAATTCATTTTTCAGATCAATGTTTCATTTGTTTTTTATTTAAACTATTATGTAATGGAAATATTCCAAATAACATTTTTTTCCAGGGAATATTTGAAAACATTTTGGGGGTTTGTGATTCTACCAAACTTTTGGGAAAATTTTGTGGCTGCAGTTTTTATACCAAATGTCAAAAATATCCAAGACAGAAATATTAAAATTTCTTACTTGGGTAATCCATCAACATTCTCCATTCTTTCCAATTTATTAACCATTTCTTCCCTGAAATAAAAAAAAAACAATTTAAATGTAAAGCAAGAGAGAGAGAGAGAGAGAGAGAGAGAGAGAGAGAGAGAGAGAGAGAGAGAGAGAAGAGAAGAGAGAGAGAGAAGAAAGAGACAGAGAGATAGAGAGAGAAGAGAGAGAGAAGAGAGAGAGAAGAGAGAGAGAGAGAGAGAGAGAACACAGAGAGAGAGAGAGAAGAAAGAGAGAGAGAAGAGAGAGAGATAGAGAGAGAGAGAGAAGAGAGAGAGAGAGTAATGGGGTTTAAGTGCACAAACTTGAAACTAGGTCATTTCCGGACTAAATTTTATTTCAATAATTGCCTTGCACATAGGGGCCTTTAGCAATGGGAGAAAACCCACGAAGTTGGACAGGCGACCCTATTCCATGTCACGTACAACTGGGGAATGGAAACCACACCAGTTGACTCATGGTAGACCTTATGATGCAGCGCACACACGCTAACCACTCGGCCATCCAACCCCCCAAACCCTCGTCGCTGAAATAAACCCTTCAAATAACTTGTATTTTATATAACTGTGTCATGTGTTATTCTCATCCAGTTACTAAATGCTGCTTAAACAATTTAAAAGCATTATATTTTACTGTTAAAAAGAAGTGAGATTCTTAAATTCTAGAATCAAATTTGTTTTATTTCATTAAACTTACGTTGGTCCATTGCCGCCATCACCGTAACCGTATAGATAAACACTGCGACCAGAACGGCCTTTATCACGGAAATTCTTCAACGTATATAACAACTAAATAAAAACATGAACACTGAATCAATACTAACAGAATACAAAAATAGAACAATGCAAATCGAACAATACAAATATATAAATATCACATAAATACAGAAACAACTTGCAGACTACCATATTTCTAAAACAAGCATATATGGGGGTGGGAGAGAGAGAGAGAGAGAGAGAGAGAGAGAGTTTAATGTCCACGCCAAACAAACTATGTCATTTTGGGACTAACATCTGGTTCCATTTTGTTTCAATAATTTGCTTTACCAATTGGTGGAAACCAGAGAACCTGGAGAAAACCAACGATGATGGAGAGGCGACCCTATTTGTCATGTACAACCCGGGAATCAAAACCACGCCAGTTGACTCAATGACAGACCTTATTGGTGGTGGAGGAAGGTAGGGTGAGGAAGGTTAGGGTAGGGGTGGGGGTGGTGTCTTGTACACACAAACTATGTCATTTTGGGACTAACATAGGGTTCAATTTTGTTTCAATAATTCGCTTGTGCATAGGGGTCTTTAGAGGTGTGAGAAAATCGGAGAACGCTAACCATTCGGCTACCCAATCCCCCTGGGAAGGAAGGGTGGTGGAGGAAGGTAGGGTGAGGAAGATGAGGGTAGGGGTAGGGGTGGGGGTGGTGGCCTTACCTCTTTAACTTTAACCATCATATGATAAGTATCACCTGGTGGGAAATGTGATAAGACACGTGAGCCATCAATACCCGACCACCAGAATGTATGATGCTATTGGCATGGCAAGATAAAATAAATAAAAACAAAACTAGATAATAAAACATGCTAAAATACTAAATAACATTAACCATTGGCTTGTGTTTTCATATAAGAAACCAAATGAACATTTTTTTAATATTGACACAAACCAGGTCATTTCGTGACTAACATATGGTTCAATAATTCACTTGCGTGTAGGAGTCTTTAGCAGTGAAAGGGAATCAGAGGACCCAGAGATAACCCACAAGGTTGGCCAGGTGACCCTACTCCTTGTTATGCACAAGAAGGAATTAGAAACCATGCTACTTGACAGACCAAATGATTTCACATGCACATATTTAACCACTAGAGCACCCAATCTTCTGTGTCCAGGCTGGCGTGTACGTAAAAGATCTCTTGGCAGATGGGTAAAATTTAGCTCTATAGCACACATCACAGCCTATGACCCCCATGGTGCACAAAAGTAGGATGCTAAAACACATTTCATTCACTTCCAAGTTACAGTCAGTTCTGATTCAACATCTTGTTAAAGCAAAAATATTCAGATGATTTCTATATGAAAACACAAACCAGATACAAAACAATCATGCCTACAAAATGAGTTGGGCAATTAATGTACCTCTTCAACCTTTCCATCCATTCCATAATTATCACCTGGCGGGAAATGAGACAAAACTCTCGACCCATTTAACCCCGCCCACCAGAACGTATGGTGCTGAAATATATTAGTCTTATAATCATTTCATAATACAGGAAGCTTTGGTAAAGTTTGTTGTCATATTGAGTGCTGATTTTATCATTATTCAAATCTTATTTCAACATTATAAATGATTACTCTTATTCAAATATTCAAAATCATTATTCAAATATTCAAAATCATTATTCAAATAAATCATTATTCAAATATTCTAAATCATAATTCAAATATTCTAAATCATTATTCAAATCTTATTCGAATATTCTAAATGATTACTTAAATCTTAATCAAATATTCTAAATCATTATTCAAATCTTAATCAACAATATTAAATCAATATTCAAATCTTATTCGAATATTTTAAATCATTATTCAAATCTTATTCGAATATTCTAAATCATTATTCAAATATTCTAAATCATTATTATTCAAATATTCTAAATCATTATTCAAATAAATCATTATTCAAATATTCTAAATCATTATTCAAATATTCTAAATCATTATTCAAATATTCTAAATCAATATTCAAATCTTATTCGAATATTCTAAATCATTATTCAAATCTTACTCGACTATTATAGGTGCAGAAAATGAAGATGTTATACCCTATGTCATTTCATTTCCGCTATAAACATATAAAGATAAAATGGGTTTTAATAGATCAGTTATATAATCTGGCTGTAACAATTCGAGAAGACTTACAGGGAATTTATTGTAGATATTCCAGGACATTTTCTGTGTCAGGAATCTGTTGATGCCACAACTTCTCATAATCTGTGGTAACTGGGCAGAATAACCAAACGTATCAGGTAACCAGAACTTGAAATATAAATACATTATCATTTAAATACATTAAATACATTATCATTTTTACCAGAAATTAAAACATAAATACATTATCATTTAAAGATACATTATGCAAGAGCTAAATCTGTCTATTGCAGGTCTTTCTTTAGGCCTGAAATGTTATCTATATTATTAGACATTAATTAACATATCCAGACCATAATCAACTCTAGATGGCATGGCTAGCCTGCGATCTTTAGTGGATTGTGAGCCGATTTTAAAACTGCATAACTTTCCTTCACGATTTAACGATTAAATGGATAATCGAGACTATGCTGTTTATCGTACTGACTTTAGTAATGATGATCGAGGCTAGGCAGAAATTTCAATCGCTTAGTTCTCGGTTCATAGTGGATCAATTTGAATGAAATGTTCAGCAAATTGCCTTTACATTATCTTGTTTTTAACTATTATAGTGAGAACTGCCAACTCGTTATCGAATCTCCCATAATGTATCTTTAAATACATATTGTAATATAAACACCAAGTCTGGACATACTGGACGCTGTGAAAGGTGCCTTATCTCCGGGCTTGATAAAATGCCAATTATCCTGAGTTATTTTTAATCTTTTAAGAATTGTCTCTCTAAGAAATAATATAATTGAATCTGTATGATATCAGTGTCAACTAGAAGTGAACTGGGCCTCGGATGTGGTCAAATGGCTCTGATTAGAAAAACAACTGAAATATATTTTTATCAAAATAAATCTTGTCTTCGCATCCACTGAAAAATATAATGATCAAAATCTGAGGAGAAAAATGATCTACGAGTGGGACAAGCTAGTTTCATTTTCTTGACATGTCACATATTCTACACCGCAATGGGGGCCCAAGGTAACCAGTTGGCCCAAAGACCCAGAGCTAACCAGTCCGCATCTGGTGTCAATTTAGACTCTCCTAGTCTGTGACAGGTGTCTTATTTCCAGGCTTAGTTGGTATGATACCAAGAGCACTTTAGCCAAGGAACATATCACTATATTATTCCTATCCTATGAAATGGAAAAGAAATAAGGCAGTAAATGCTTTCAGAGAGAGAGAGAGAGAGATAAATGGGGTTTAAAGTCCACTTGACACAAACTAGGTCATTTCGGGACTAACATATGGTTTAATTTTATTTCAATAATTCACTTGTGCGT